TGTTTTACCTGAGAAAGAGGCTTGTGTCTCCTCAAGAGTTTCAGAGATCTCAACCATGTCAAAGTGCAATGACAAGACAGATATAAACTCTGCTATGCTATCTACTTGATTTTACAGCCCCATACTAGCAATTTTACTCACATTTAACATAGTTTCAGGAGACGCTCCTCCATTAAGAATCTTTCCTCTTTGTGTTTATACTATAGTCATGAGAGATAGTGCTAAATCTGTAGTGTCAGCATGCTGTGGAAGACTAAAGTCTGTGTTTATGTGTGTAGGGAGGTGATGACTTTGACCAGGCATATGCTTTGAGTTGTGAGGTGACTGTGGGCCGCAGCATAGAGGATTACTCCTTCCCTACACACTGCAGCAGAGGGGAGCGCAGACAGCTCCTCATACTGGCCAAAACAGGTACTGCAGTTAAAACATGATCATGGCTGTGTCCAATCCTGCTCAATCCTGAGTTTAGCTCATATCAAACACACCTGAACCAGCTAATCAAAGTCTTACTCGGCATACTAGACACTCCCAGGCAGTTGTGTGAGGCGAAACTGCAGGACAGTGGCCCTTTAGGAGCAGGTTCGGACACCCCTGACTTAGCTATGCTTTATGCTAATTTATTATCTCTGTGGAATACTTGATTGTGATTGGTCAATCACGCCATCCAGCTGTGTGTTATTCCTAGATAACAACCGCTAAAAAGACACAGGCTCATCTGGGTTACTGTAGCAGTAAATGAAGAGATGTCTTATCGAAGTTCAGTATGGCGTACCACAAGGCTCAGTACTAGGACCGCTGCTGTTCACTCTGTACATGCTGCCCTTAGGAGATATTATTAGGAAACTTGGCATTAGTTTTCACTGTTATGCTGATGATACTCAGCTCTATATTTCTTTACGCAATTTTTTACGAAAAATTCTTTATGAATTCATATTTATTACCAATTCGCAAAATTAACGGAATGCATAGCTGATATAAAAAACTGGATGACTATCAATTTCCTACTACTGAACTGCTCTAAAGCTAAAAAACAAGTTAAGTGAGGGATAATTTACATCCTCTCAAATTAACCCCCCTTCAGGCTCCGCTTCACTTTGGGGTCCTCATCACTTTGTCCGGGCTTATTCTGAGATAACAACCGGCTGACTGTACATTATCCCTTACTTGACTTGTTTTTTAGCTTTGGAGCAGTTGGCTGAGGATCTGCCAGGAAAGCTTTACTCCATAGATGAACTCAGCCAAGAGACTGAAGACCGAGGGGTTGTGATGGACGCTCCACCATCTTTTCTGATGAAGATCGGTGTGGCTCGTGACTGGCCTGATGCGAGGGCTCTGTGGTTGGTTAGGGTTCATAAATTGTGGCTAAATAATGTTAAGCAATTTGATTTTTTCTTATGTTTTTTGCCTTTCAATCAGGTTGAGCAAGGACGGGACCCTGGCTGTCTGGGTTAACATGGAAGACCATCTGAAACTAGTGTCTTATAGAAGTGATGCTTGCTTACAAGAAGCATTTAAAACTATCTGCATCAATGTGCTGAAGGTTTATATCAATCGACTACCTTATACAATATCATGTTGCCATGTTGGTAACACTTTCCTTAACCCTCAGGTGCTCTTCGTTTCGGGGTCACACTTGTTATCTTCCCGGTCAAAAGTGACCGGACACCTAAAAATGAAACTTTCTCCATCCCAGTAAAACCAATGCAATTTATTTTTGTTCTATAATATTTATTCTTTTTAATTTAGTATTTTGAGACAATTTAATTGAATTTATTAATATTTATGCAATATTTATGGTTTATTTTTGCCATGGAAAAATATATATATTTTTCTATATATATATTATTTTTTTTTAAAAAAAATATTAATGCAGTATTTTAGCTTAATATAGAGTCTAGGCCTTCAGAAAAAAATATATTTTGAAGAAAATTAGCGCCATCTGGTTACAGTATAGAGAAAAAGCGTAGAATCATGGTGTAACCACTAGAGCTCTCTATGGAGAGGCATGTGAATTCCCCAGCTGTTTATGAACACATTTTGTTGTTGTTGTTGTTGGTGGATTTGAATATATAGTTGAAACAATCTCAAAAACTATTTCTTATTAAAAAAAAATGACAAAAAACAAAAATTAACTTTTTTTTTTTTCATTTTTTTTTTTTTTACAATTTCCCATTCATTTCCTATGGGGGTCATTTTTGACCAAAGACCACAAGTGTGACTATTTTTTTTAAGACAACTTAGCATGCTCAGATCATGACCTCAATTTTTTTGTGTGTTAACAAACATAATGCCATAAAAGTCACCAAGTTTCGTAACATTGCGATGAAGCTGTGATTTTTAAAAATTCAAAACATACTTTTTGTAATCAAAATTTATTGGTGTTTTTGTGTATAAAAGTGTGTGTGTGTGTGTGTGTGTGTGTGTAGGGGTGGGTATGTCTGTTTTGCACTCTTGATGTTTTAGAGTCTCACCCCTTCAATGCTGAGCACTTTTTTTCTGCATCGTGGCCGATTTGTAGATTGTAAACACAAAAATTCTCAAAGTTTTTGTGTTTTTGTCAATTTCCCATTCATTTCCTATGGTCGGTCATTTTTGACCGAAGAGCACAAGTGTGACTATTTTTTTTATGACCACTTAGCCTGCTCGGATCATGACCTCAATTTTTTTTTTGTATTCACATACCCAATGCCATAAAAGTCACCAAGTGTCGTAACATTCTTATGAAGCTGTGATTTTAAAAAATTCAAAACAGAAAATTTGTCGGTCAGAAATGACTGAAGAGCACCTGAGGGTTAAAGGGGTGTGCATAAGACTGTCATGACACCTTCATTATCATGATCATATCATTATCATACTTTTAAAGGCACTATATAAAATAAAGTTTTATTATTATTATTATGACATGACACATGTCATGAATTTGAATGAGGGTTTATGCATTTTTATGACAGTAAACCCTCCTTCATATTCATGACAAGTGTTACCGATATGGGTTCTATGAGAAGACAAAAGGTCTTAATATTGAACCCTGAGGGATGCCATATTCTATAGTCTATGCTGCACACACCAAAAATCTAAAATGTGTGTGTTTTTTTAGATGGAGGCAGTATATAATAAACGAAAACACCCATTTATCTGGAAGCCTCACCTGGGCTGGGTGATCAGCTCTCCTGCAGAGGTGGGAACAGGCCTGAAGGCAAGTGTCACAGTCAAACTGCTACATCTCGCCGAGAACAAACGCATGGATGACATCTTGGACAGACTACGACTGCAGATGGAAGCAACAAGTATGGCAAAACTCATTCGTGTAGAATCATGTCAGCCACAGTCTAACATAAAAATCTAATTAGGCTGCATTCACAAAATGTTGACTAGTTCCCTAATACCAGGCGAAAACACTTTACAATAAGGTTCATTAGTGAACTACCTTAGCTTTTATTAATCTTAGTTTTAACAAGATTAATAAATACTGTAACAAATGTAGAGCTCATTGTTAGTTAATACATTAACCAATGTTCACTTTTCAAAAAACTTTTGCTGATAATTTACTCACCCCCATGTCATCCAAGATGTCCATGTCTTTCTTTCTTCAGTCGAAAAGAAATTAAGGTTTTTGATGAAAACATCCCAGGATTTTCTCCATATAATGGACTTCAATGGGAACCAAACGGTTCAAGGTCCAAAAGACAGTTTTGGACTCCTTTACTACTCCTTTAAAGTTGCATGATTGATCGACTAACCTGATTGTTTAAATCAAAAAAACGAACTACTCTCCACAACTACTCTAAACAAACTTAAACTGTTGCATTGTTTTTAATACACAGGCTGTCCAGGCGTCTACAAAATCAGCAACCTGCAGACCATTGGGTTAACTGAAGTGGTGCTGACCCAGCTAGTGGTGGATGGGGTCAAACTCCTCATCCGAATGGAGAAAAGACTGAAGAACAACAGCGGCATTGAGGACCTGGTGCCGACTCGCAAGTGAAGGACTGGAGGTCTGTGTTGAGTGAGAACTGAAGCGCCATTTCTCTGAGGACAAGTCTACCGTTCTCACCAATACTGGGGATTGAAAAGGGACTTTGCGACACTATTTACTTTGTTTGTAAAATATTTTTTTGAAGCTAGTGGTTTATTCATCTATGTTTTCTATCATTAAAGGAGTAGTTCACTTTTAAAAAACTTTTGCTGATAAGTTACTCACCCCCATGTCATCCAAGATGTCCATGTCTTTCTTTCTTCAGTCGAAAAGAAATTAAGGTTTTTGATGAAAACATTCCAGGATTTTCTCCATATAATGGACTTCAATGGGAACCAAACGGTTCAAGGTCCAAAAGACAGTTTCAGTGCAAACTGTTCAAAGGGCTTTAAACGACACCAGACGATGAATCAAGCGAAACGATCGCTCGTTTAAAACATAAATAACAAAGTTTAAGTTTTATAAGCACAAATGCTCACCTTGCTCTGTTCTGTATTTTGGACCTTGAACCGTTTGGTTCCCATCGAAGTCCATTATATGGAGAAAATCCTGGAATGTTTTCATCAAAAACCTTCATTTCTTTTCGACTGAAGAAAGAAAGACATGGACATCTTGGATGACATGGGGGTGAGTTTTTTTTTTTTTAAAGTGAACTACTCCTTTAAGGGTGAATTACGAAAAAACACCCTAGTAATATTTCACCCAATTCTACATAGCCATTACACCCACACATATTTTCATGAAAATGTCAAAATTTTCCGTAAAATACAATTGATTTCATTCTTTCTTTCGATTCTGGCCTGAAATATGAACAGGGAATTTCTTTGTACTGTTAATGAAATTCACCCTACATAATTTTTGTTGCGTTTGCGTTTACAGACTCGGTTAACAGACAAGAATATTTACTATATCATAAACATAGATGTGCAAAATGTTCAGTTTTCCTTCAAGAACAACAAATTACTTGATATAATTATTGCAATAATGTTAGCGGGGGGAAAAAAAGGACACGACACATTTTAGCTCAAAGACTCATTTCAAGTAAGCTTTAATGTGCTCCAGTGGGACTGAGGTCGAACCGCAGCGGCCCAAGGGATATCCGCAGAAATGTACAGTACAATGTCGAGAGAATAAATGGGAAAAGTGTGTGGAAGGACGAAATGTGTCGAGTTAATTGCATTTTTTTTTTTTGGAGATCCTCAGCCTTCAGCTTCCTTCCCAAAGAGTTTCGTTTTGAAAAAAGAAAAGAAATTAGTCCTGGAAATGTACCAACATCACAGTTGACATTCGAACGTTCGACGCCTCGCTTTAATCACAGCTTTACCCTTATAATATGTTTAGTCACTAGTCCTTCTCCTCAAACTACCACCTTCCCTCACAAGTGTGCAGTCACAACCTCTTCAGTCAGCATTACAGTAATACAACATAGACAGCATTGCACATTTAACCTTCAATACTTCAGTACAAAAGAACTAGTAGAAAGTACCAGTACGAGTGGTTGTAATCCATCATCATCATCATCATCATCATCATCATCGCCACTTAATACAAAACAAATTACATTTAAAAAAAAAAGTCATGCATTCTCTGGATGAACAGTTTCTACAGGTAATAAAACAAGGCATAAAATGGCTTAATAAATAAATTTCTTGTAGTTAGTTGAAGCTTTTCTGGATTCTGACAGGGAAATGCTCTCACTCCACACACACACACACACACACTGCAGTGATGTCAGTCTCAGTGTGTGTTCTCTAAGGAATGTTAATGTGCTATTCTCAGAATCTGGGAAACACACACACACACCACTTCATCCTCTGAGGTTTCCATCACATCTAATTCTCACTCAAACGGATAATTCACCCGAAACGAAAGTTCGGTCATTATTTGCTTCCGTGTGTGTTGTTATTTCTCCAGAGAACACTAAACGCGGCACATTTTCAGAGATTCGCAACTTACAATTTTGGATTGATACAACGTAACGCATGTCCTTTTTGAAGCTGAAGTCATGAAAAACATCAGCATACGGGCTTGATCGGATGAGGGTGAGAATAATAATCGAATTTCCATTGTTGCATAAACGAATGTTGAGAACGTAAAATAACGATTAAAACTGGGTGGTGTCGAGGGAAAAAGCAACAAACTAAACAAGTATGACACATTGAACATCATTTTTCTGTACAGAGCTCAATAGTGGCTATACAACACCTCCACATAAGCAGGCTGAAAGTCTCGTTTTATACAACTCTAGGATCAATTCAATACAACAAAAACATTCTAAATCTGAACTGTACATGTGGAAAAAGTTCGTTACGATAACTAGCTCGACAGATTCTCCGTCCTGCCGACCCTGAAAGGGTTTCGATATTATTGCAAGATGGTTGTTTTAACCAGGCGTATAATGCTAGAGGTCATGAAGAGCGTTTTCTCGTCTTTTTGCATTCGTATTTTTTCGTCTCCACTAAACATTACAGCAGTAGCTTACAGAAGCAGGAACTCAAAAAATGGCACTCAAACTTCCTGGAGGAACTCCTTTTTAGTGTCGTGTCTTGTCGGAGCCTTCTCTTACAGCTTGAGCTCATTGGCAATTTTGGAAGCGATGTTCTTGAAGGCGATGGAGGTCCCCGATATGCGCTTGAAGCGGACCCCGTTGAGGGACAGGCGGGGCAGTTTGCAGACCTCCATCTCCCACTGGACGAGGCTGTCCTGCCGCGCGTCTCCGTGAACGCAGAAGAGCAAGAAGCGCTCGCGCTGCTCGTAGTCGCAGTTGTTGGCGTCCAGCACCTTGCGGATCTCCCTCATCATGTCTCCCGGCTCCATGGACGAGGTGGTCTTCATGCTCCAGGTGAAGCGCAGCGACCTCGGCTTCGAGTCGCGACCCTCCTCCTTGGGTTCTCCGGATCCGCTCCTGAGGACAAACACAGAAGCGTTCAGAGGGTCAGGTTTCCTCACGTCCCGGATGTTGCCGTCTGGGTAAACCATGAGGTCTGCTGATCGAGTATTGTAGGGTTGAGACCAGTGGTTGGTTGAATAAACACTTTAAGACTCGTCTTAAAAGTTAAGTCATCATCAAGACTGCCACTTACTTACATTAATTGGTAGATTGGTCAAATTAAAATTGGGAAAGCTTGGTTTTCTGCTACGATAACCAAACTCGCTCTTAAGACACAGTCTTATCATAGTGGCTAAGTGTATGCAACTGGCCCCAGGTCACACCAAGAACAACAGCTAGAAAGATAATGCTAACTATATTAGCGTCCACACCTGCAGACTATTTATTCTAATACTTGGTTCAGATTACAGAATTTTTTTTGTCTGTTACGATAGTCACTGTGTCCGATTTTGACTCCTAAAATCTAGACGTGTCGTGGACAAGACACATGTTAGACTACACGTTGCTTCCTGACCAGTCATCGTATGCCATCTTTAATGGCGTGCGTGATGTCATAGAGAAGGCGAAACTACCCAGATAGCAAACTGACATTGAATCAACGTGGAAATATGACATCGAAACAACGTTGATCTGACATTGTTTTGCTCATCGAATTAACGTTGAACCAACGTCAGATGCGTCATTCAAATCAACTTGAAATCAACGCGTTGTTTCAACGTTATGAAAGCAAACCAATTTTCGATTTCATTTAGCTTTGAAGAATGCCGCGTCTGACGTTGGTTCAACGTTAATTCGATGAGCAAATCAACGTTGTTTCAATGTCATGAGAGACGTCGTTTCCACGTTGATTCAATGTCAGTTTGCTGACTGGGTAGTAGCGAGTGACTTCCGGAAACGAACGTAAACAAACAATGGATGAAACGGTGAGTGATGTATTGGCTGTCCTGTATAAAAAAAAGTAAAAAAGAAAGAAAATCCGACTAAAATATTGTAAAATATTGTTTTCTTATATATTTTTACTTTTAGTTTTAACGTTAGCACCATCGTCTCTCTTTCGTTTCGCCATTTTTGAAAGTTGTGTACGGAAAAGCTTCTGTGCTCCTATTGGTCGACCTCATACATGTGACGGAACCGTCGTGGACGACTGTTAAAAAAATTAAACATGCTAGTCTTTTTGTTGTGATGTCGTGAAGCATCAAGACGCGATGTAGGTTGTCGCCCACTATCGATCGAATCTTGTCGTTTATGAATCCCCACGACACCCTACGTCAAACGGATCATGCCAAAATCGGGTTAATATCGTGTAATCTGAACCAGACATAGGAATTCACTGCGGTTTTGTCGCCTGTCACTTTAAATGCTCAAGCTCTCTAAAGTCGTATCGATTCTGATTGGCTGTCAGTGTTTTTTATCTTTCATCAGCTAGAAAAAATCATCCAACGATATCGTTCCCCTGTGACGTTATCATTATAGTTGTGTTGTACTCGAACTATATAACTATGATGTTTGAGTTTTAATACTCGTTCAAATTTACTAATTTCGTTACAGTTTAAGTAGAAATCACTATGAGGAAATTATATCGCTTGAATCACTTTCAGAATTATTTTTCCAGCTGATTAACAATAAAAACATTGACAGCCAATCAGAATCCACCCGACTTCTAAAGCAGACGGCGACAAAATTGCAGCGAACGCTCATAGCGTAAGGAATCGTGCGTTAGTTTGTACGCTACAATATTGGTGTGAACACAATCTACGCTATTATTCATTCACGCCAAGGATGATAATTATATAAAGCTTTAATAATCGCTGTAATTATGAGAAGAGGGAAGTCCGCATCACAACTACAATATACGGTAGGTGGCGGTAAAACTCCTAAGCGGTGAGCAGCCGGTAACAAAAAGTAGACGAATGAGAACGTCCTCGTCTCAGTTCTTGCGCATGTGCCCATAAGGAAGTAATAGAATAATTGAATAAAGTCGTTATTTATGTTTTTTCCGCACAAAAAGTAGTCTCGTCGCTTGATAAACTTATAATTGAGCCGCTGTAGGCACATGGAATATTTAAACCTTTTCTTTAATGACTTTATGGGCCGTCAAGAGGCAGTCCCTTAGGCAGTCTATGTAGGACTGATCCAGCTCTCAGATTCAATCAAAAATATCTTTATTTGTGTTCCGAAGATGAACGGAGGTCTTACGGGGTTGGTACAGCATGGGGGTGAGTAATTAATGACTTAATTTTCATTTTTGGGTGAACTAACCCTTTAAGGGCCACTGTTTACAGCAAGGATGATGACTATAAAGTTATCATAATCATTCTAAGTCTATGCGAATAGGGAAGTCAACAACCACTATAATGGTAATGGTATCAGTGGAATCACTTTCAGCAAGATTCCCGACTTTAACTCTTTCCCCTCCATGGTTTATAAGAGAGTCCATTAACACCCCAAAGCTCGCAGTTGTTTCCTCTTCATGGGTCCACATTTGCAGATTTGATTACTATGCTGTTTAATCGCGTTAGCTTACACGTGCGTTTATGGCTTGTTTGTGGATCCGCAGATGTGTATGACTGTTCGTTCACACCGGACGCGAATAGTGCATCAAATTCGCGTCTAGTTTGACGCTTGACCACTTTGTGTTAATTCGCGCGACAAGACTGAAACTGACACACGTAAAAACAAAAGTTTGAAGCGAAATTTACGCGCGTCAGAATTGAAACCCGTTGGCGGTCATCTTTTTATATTGATTGAGCTTTCATTGACGCTCTGTATTTGCTCTGGAGAGCTAGAACAGCGGCGTGGGGATAATCGTTGCCGTATTTGTGTGCACCGGACCCTTCAGAGGCGAACCGTTTGGTGAGTTTCATAATTCGGCGTGAATTGACGCCAAAGTTCAGATTTTTCAACCTGGATGGCAGGCACGAATTCACGTCAAACTCGTGAGTGCACAAATAGCACTAACTAAATCATTCGGACTTAATGCGCCAGACGCTCAATTCACGCCATTCATGCGAACTTGATGCGGGAATGAGGCGTATTCACGTCTACCGCGCCGCGGTCCAAATGCGTGAGATGGTACGTGAGGAAATGCTTAGGAGGAAATGCGATGCTACCAAGCCGACCAATCACAGATCTTGCTGTCCGCGTCGTCGCGACGTGTAGTTACATTTTTGAGAAGGTACGCGTCAGGCTACGGCGAAGGGTACGCGGTATGGTACGCGTCTGTGCGTATGCTACGCCATACCTACAGCGCGCACCCTACGCAGCATTATGAATTAGCCTTGACGCGCTATTCGCGTCCGCTGTGAACGCACAATGACGCTCTCTACTGTAAAAATAAAAGCGAAAACATGGATGGAAAGAGTTAAAGAGCTCAAGCATATAAATCTCCATATGAAATAACTAGTGCATGCTTATCAGAAGCAGAATGATATCATCTATCGGTGTGGCTGGTAATATTTATCAGTTATCTTTATAATAGTGTTCTTGGTTTGAACAGGACTTCACAAAAATTAATAAGGTGCATGGGGGAAAAAATCAGGTGGAAATAGAGCTAAAGCATAACATAAAAATTAGGCACACAATATATAGTGTATACTGTATGTTCGGACGTCTGCTGCTTTTTTGAGGTACTAATATTTCCAGTAACGGATCATCACTACTATAAATGGACTGGCAAATGAATATGGTTGTTTAGAGTGTTAAAATCTATATTAGAAAGACAGAAGACAGTTCGCATTGCTTGGAAAACATGCAAAACACGCATACAATCAGGAATCTCACACACACACACCAACACTTGGGCTCAACGCTGGCTCTGGTGGACTGGCCTGAGAGGGCAGCAACACATGCCCCACAAGCACAGATTCACATCAGACACAGTCTAAAGCAATCAGGGGATCAGTGGAAACCTCACCTCAGACTGTACGCCCGACCGCGGGCCTCTCCTTCACTGGGCAACCTTGGGAAATATCAGAGGTCATATTGAGAAAGCAGTGGACAACTAAACTCATAGCTTAGCATAGATCAGCTGTTCTGAAAGACACAGATCCTACGCAACACTGTAAACTGCTGATATTTAAAGGGATAGTTGACTTTGAAATTAATTTTTGGTATGTTTTATCTTACCTCAAGGGCATCCAAGATGTAGGTGTCTTTGTTTCCACAGCAGTTTCAATTTTGATATTTTTAGGTCAAACAGTTCTTGTCTGTCAGTCATATAATGGAGGTCTATGGTCACCACCTCAAAGAGCACCTCAATGAGTACACATTGATGGCCTAAGACATGAAACGAGCGGTTTGTGTGAGAAAACGAACAGTATTTATATAATTTTTACCTCTTGTAATCACAGCCACGTCCAAGTGATCTGAAGGCGTGGGCGCTTCGGTCTGCGCAAGCACGGGAAAGCACCGGAAGTGATCTCTCGCGCGGTTGCGAAAAAAAAATCAATGTCGTCTTCCATTGTAATTTTTCTGTATATCTAAATATGTTTAGATCTTCACAGTGAAGGGTAACACTTCTGAAATCTCTGTGTAAACAATGAGTGGCATACACTTCCGCTTGCGCAGACCGAATCGCCGACTCAGACTCAGATCACTTGGACGTGGCTGTGGTAACAAGAGGTAAAACGATATAAATACTGTTCGTTTTGTCACACAAACCGCTCGTTTCGTGTCTTAGGCCATCAATGTGTACTTACATTTACGAGTCATTAAATCATGTTTAATCTGGACTTCTCTGTGCATGCTCTTTGAGGTGGTGACCATAGACCTCCATTATATGACTGACAGACAAGAACGGTTTGACCTAAAAATATCAAAAATGGAAATACTGCGGAAACAGTATGCCCTTGAGGTAAGATAAAACATACCAAAACTTCATTTCAAAGTGAACTATAAATTTAAGGCCTGTTCACTCCAAAAACCATAACTATAGCGATAACTATATCAGCGTCCACACCAGAAAACGGTAGCATTGTGTCTTACATGATAAGCGTGAGCTGCATTTATATCAGCTGCCACTTTAAAAAGTTGGGTGGATTTTGATTGGCTGTCAATGTTTTTATCGTACACGTTTTTCCGTTGTGTTTTTCATGTACAGACGGCAAAGTCGTCAAACGGATGCGTGAAACTGACCACAAGCGCTGTTTTATTCACGGCAGGCCAGTAGGTGGTGACATTACTGTAAAAAACAGTTCTGAACGTGTAATAAACAGATGATCAAGGTCTCATTTTCAAAAACTTGCACTCTGAAACCTGTTTGCAAAGTTTGTGTTTTCAGGGCCTAAACGCCAATGAACGGACAAAACGCATAAAAGTTTTCAGCTTTTAGCTCAAACATTCAGGATTGCTCTATCACGACAGTATTGCTATCTATCAGGATGCGACACTGAGGTGAGGTAAAGGTTAGTCAGTTAAGGGTTAGTGTTTGTTTTAGCCTGGATTTGCGTTATAACTACGGTCGCTCGCAAGTTGTCATTGTCAGCAGTTAAACGAGTCACTCTTTCCTGAAACTATCGCTTTAATGAACATTCGCAGAGTTGAGTGTTTGAACGACAGATCTCCACCTGTGGTTAGAAGCAGAGTTTTTAGTTTTCCTGACATGTGGACTCAATAAATCCTTATCTTGAGCAAAATAAGCAAGCTGACATTCAGTATAACCTATTTATTTTATTCAGAATAAATACAAATATCATTTATGTCTTTTAGTTTGCCATATGTGCTCTAATACATAAGAACGAAGAATCTGTAAAAAAAGCGAAATAACTTAATAACTAGGGCTGTCAAATGATTAATCGCGATTAATCGCATCCAAAATAAAAGTTGTGTTTACATAATATATGTGGGTGCACTGTGTATAATTATTTTATATATATAAATACACACACATGCTTGTATATATTTAAGAAATATTTTTATGAATATACTGTATATAGATTTATATATAATTTATATTATATATAAATATAAATATTTTATATATAAATAATATTTTTTTCTTAAATATACAGGCATGTGTGTATATATACACTACCGGTCAAAAGTTTTAGATCGGTAAGATTTTTATGTTTTTAAAAAGTCTCTTCTGCTCACCAAGGCTGCTTTATTTGATAAAAAATAAAAAAAAAATAAAAACTGTAATATTGTGAAATATTATTACAATTTAAAACAGTGGTTTTCTATGTGAATATATAAGTGAAGTGTAATTTATTCCTGTGATGAAAGCTGAATTTACAGCATCATTACTCCAGTCTTCGGAGTCACATGATCCTACAGAAATTATGATAATATGATGCTCAAGAAACATTTATGATTATTATCCATGTGGAAAACAGTTTTTTACATTTTTAATTGAGGATTCTTTGATGAATAGAAAGTTCAAAAGAACAGAATTGATCTGAAATGGAAAGCTTTTGTAATATTAATCACTACCATTCAAAAGTTTGGGGTCAGTAAGAATTTATTTTTTATTTTTGGGGGAAAGAAATTAGAAAATACTTTTATTCATCAAGGATGAGTTAAATTGATCAAAAGTTACAGTAAATACATTTATAATGTTAGAAAAGATTATATTTTAAATCAATGCTGTTCTTTTGAACTTTCTATTCATCATAGAATTTTGGAGGAAAATGGTACGACTGTTTTCAACATTGAAAATAATAATTTATGTTTTTGAGCATAAAATCAGCATATTAGGATGATTTCTGAAGGATCACGTGACACTGAAAACTGATGTATAATCAGCAACAGTAATGATGTTGAAAATTCAGCTTTCAAATTACATTTAGAAATACATAGAAATAGAAAACATTCATTTTAAATTGTCATAATATTTAACAATATAAATAAATCAGCCTTGGTGAGCAGAAGAGACTTCATTTAAAAACATAAAAAATCTTACTGATCTTACTTTTGACCGGTAGTGTGTGTATATATAATTACACACAGTCAAGTGACTGCAATGCTATTGTTAAAGTTGTGGTGTAGACTCTGCTATTCTCTTACAGTGAGAACATCTTCATGGTTATAGTTATCATCCTTCATGTGAACAGACCTTTAGACTTACAAACTAGATTACTTGCCGGATTTATTGATGAATACAAAATCTTGTAGTTTGGAAGGCGGTGGACGGAGGCAAAGGACACACTTTCTTTTAACCAATAAAATACATTTCAAATGGAGGACGGAGAACAGGAACTGGATCACTACAAGACCATCAGCATTCAACATGTTCAGCAAAACTACAGCGAAACACTTCACAAAAGTAAAGCCTGAGGACACACGGGTGGGGGAGGAAGTGTCATCATCATCATCATCAGGCCGTGCAAACACTCACAGAGGTGACGGATGCACAGGTCATTAGTAAGAAACACACGGGTCGAGTCTACTTCTGAGGAGGAGGGGGTGTGAGGACACAGTTCATGTGTAAGTCTGAGGGGAAAGGTCAAACTATTGAGCCCTACCTCGCCGTTCTGAAAGACAGAGTTCTACAACACAAACAAACAAACAGCGTGTCAGGCCAAACCCAAGCCCACTGCGTCAGCCCTGAAACTGAAACTGAGCATACATATGGTGAAGATTCATAACACTGTGCAGTTCCTGACCAGTGTGTACCTCCTGCAGGCCGACAATAGGGGGCGACTCTGAGAGACATCTGATCCGGCTCACTTTACCCAGTGTCCTTCACTGACTGCAGCACTCTCAGAGTCACTGCATGCTCAGCACTGCGTGTGTGTGTGTGTCAGGCCACCTGGCTCGCTCTCCTCCAGACACACACTGCAGCAGGGCTGGGCATTGACACAAATGTCACGCTTCGATCAAGTGAATTTTTGATCAAATTTGACTTGATATCTCTTCTTTTGGATGCATATCAGTTGCATATGTACATTTATTTTTAAGAAAAGGGAAAACTAATTTGTTAACAAACATTTAAATTGAACAGAAGGCAGTTTTATAGTAATAATAATAATGATGATCACTTTTTAATGGCATTATTATGTCTTTAAACGCAGGCTATCATAAAAACTGATATATTAAATATTGAAAAACATAAAAAAAGATGGAATATAGTGCATTTATTTATCACAATCTGTTATTTTCATTTTGCTGTAGAAATTGTGTTATTTTTTTCACGATTCTTCAATGAACAGAAAGTATAGAGCCCCCCTATTCCCACTTTGGCAAAACAAATTAATTATAACTATCTCGTGGCCACAAGATAGTAACTCGTGGCCTCAAGATACTAACTCGTGGCCTCAAGATAGTAATTCGTGGCCTCAAGATACTAACTCGTGGCCTCAAGATACTAACTCGTGGCCTCAAGATAGTAACTCGTGGCCTCAAGATACTAATTCGTGGCCTCAAGATAGTAATTCGTGGCCTCAAGATACTAACTCGTGGCCTCAAGATAGTAACTCGTGCCTCAAGATACTAACTCGTGGCCTCAAGATACTAACTCGTGGCCTCAAGATACTAACTCGTGGCCTCAAGATAGTAATTCGTGGCCTCAAGATACTAACTCGTGGCCTCAAGATAGTAACTCGTGGCCTCAAGATACTAACTCGTGGCCTCAAGATAGTAACTCGTGGCCTCAAGATAGTAATTCGTGGCCTCAAGATACTAACTCGTGGCCTCAAGATAGTAACTCGTGGCCTCAAGATACTAACTCGTGGCCTCAAGATAGTAACTCGTGGCCTCAAGATAGTAACTCGTGGCCTCAAGATAGTAATTCGTGGCCTCAAGATACTAACTCGTGGCCTCAAGATAGTAACTCGTGGCCTCAAGATACTAACTCGTGGCCTCAAGATAGTAACTCGTGGCCTCAAGATAGTAATTCGTGGCCTCAAGATACTAACTCGTGGCCTCAAGATAGTAACTCGTGGCCTCAAGATACTAACTCGTGGCCTCAAGATAGTAACTCGTGGCCTCAAGATAGTAACTCGTGGCCTCAAGATAGTAATTCGTGGCCTCAAGATACTAACTCGTGGCCTCAAGATAGTAATTCGTGGCCTCAAGATAGTAACTCGTGGCCTCAAGATAGTAACTCGTGGCCTCAAGATAGTAACTCGTGGCCTCAAGATAGTAACTCGTGGCCTCAAGATAGTAAGTCGTGGCCTCAAGATAGTAACTCGTGGCCTCAAGATAGTAACTCGTGGCCTCAAGATAGTAACTCGTGGCCTCAAGATAGTAAGTCGTGGCCTCAAGATAGTAACTCGTGGCCTCAAGATACTAACTCGTGGCCTCAAGATACTAACTCGTGGCCTCAAGATAGTAAGTCGTGGCCTCAAGATAGTAACTCGTGGCCTCAAGATACTAACTCGTGGCCTCAAGATAGTAAGTCGTGGCCTCAAGATAGTAACTCGTGGCCTCAAGATACTAACTCGTGGCCTCAAGATAGTAACTCGTGGCCTCAAGATAGTAAGTCGTGGCCTCAAGATAGTAACTCGTGGCCTCAAGATAGTAACTCGTGGCCTCAAGATAGTAATTCGTGGCCTCAAGATAGTAACTCGTGGCCTCAAGATAGTAATTCGTGGCCTCAAGATAGTAACTCGTGGCCTCAAGATAGTAACTCGTGGCGTCAAGATAGTAATTCGTGGCCTCAAGATAGTAACTCGTGGCCTCAAGATAGTAATTCGTGCCTCAAGATACTAACTCGTGGCCTCAAGATAGTAACTCGTGGCCTCAAGATAGTAACTCGTGGCCTCAAGATAGTAATTCGTGGCCTCAAGATACTAACTCGTGGCCTCAAGATAGTAACTCGTGGCCTCAAGATAGTAACTCGTGGCCTCAAGATAGTAACTCGTGGCCTCAAGATAGTAACTCGTGGAGTTACGATCTTGAGGCCACAGAAAACATAGTTATGTATATGATATTGCTTTTCTGTCAACAGATCCTCCTAAATATTACACAAGTCAATCAAGTCACCTTCCTTTATATAGCGCTTTTAACAATCTAGATAGTTTTAAAGCAGCTCCTTCACACAGGACCATTGGTCCACGGGTTCAGGATCATGTTTGACCGGTGTGGCCACTATGTAGAGTCCGGCCGCGGCTCATACAAACCTCAGGAGCCTGTGGAGGAAAGCACACTCATGACACAGCTGAGAGCGGGCCTGAAGACTGACCTCCGCACAAACTTTGAGGTGATCTTGCTGATGAAGCCCGAGGAGGCCCCGCGCCGGGCCTGGGCGAGGGCGCCGGTGTCGTGGGACAGCGTGGGCGAGGCGGGCGGGCCGTTGTAGGTGGCGCTGCGCCGGTCTCTGAGCTGCGCCCCGTGGAAGGTGCTCCGGCTCGAGGTGCCCCGGGGGAAGCGGGTCCGGTCCGGGGTCATGCTGCTGATGCTGTGCGCTGACGGAGACGTGGACGGGGCCCTGCGCGCACACACGAGTCGCACGGGTGTATTTTATTTTATAAATATGAAATATAAAACTCATTGAAACCTTTAATAAAACTATACTAGTATCTCAACGACACCAGACCAACACGGTCTCTGAAAGCCTACAGTGAGTGTGTGTGTGTGTGTGTTCTCACCCCTTGAACTCCGTGTTGTCCTCGATGGGCGGCAGCGGGGACTTGTTGGGGTGTCCCGAGGCGGACATGGACTTGACGTGGCGCGGGCGAGTGGAGGCCCCAGCCGAGGAGCCTCCGGGAGACACCGAGGAGGAGGCGCTCGCAGAGCCCGACATCTCCGTCAAGCTGACACACACACAGAACACACACACCAACACATCAAGAAGCCACAGAACTGTTTTGCGTATCGAGTTGTTCGGGGGCAAAACTCATATTGTGCGGATCCTTTCACAGCAAGAGGAAAGCAAACTGAAACTGTAAGCAATCGTACATGTTTTTTTAATGTATAATGAAAGCAAAGACAGAATCTGTGGATGTTTGCAGCAGCTGCTTTGGGGCAAATGTGCAGGATTTTGTTTAATATGTTTGTTTTTCTCTGCTCATAAACACAAATAACTTTGCAATTACCCATTTTTAGTTCTATTAATCGATTAAAAAAACAATTGATCACAAGTTTTTCTGTTATTAATCGAATCTAACATTAACATTTTTAATTAGGGCTGTCAAATGATTAATCGCGATTAATCGCATCCAAAATAAAAGTTTGTGTTTACATAATATATGTGGGTGCACTGTGTATAATTATTTTGTGAGTGTATATATATATATATATATATAAATACACACACATGTATGTATATTTAAGAAAAAAAAAATTATTTATATATAAAATATTTTATATTTATATATAATATAAATCTATATATAGTATATACATGAAAATAATTATTAAATATATACAAGCATGTCTGTGTATTTATATATATAAATTAATTATACACAGTGTACCCACATATATTATGTAAACACAAACTTTTATGCGATTAATAATTAACTTTTATTTTGGATGCGATTAATCGCGATTAATCGTTTGACAGCCCTATTTTTAAAGGGTAACTAAACCCCTGGTCAGAGCCTGACTCCACCCACTGGCAATATTCAAAAAATGCTGAAAAAGTGGGCGGACCCCAGCGGAGATAGAGGAGACGAAATAAATGCTACAACACTCTATCCTGATCGTTTTCAATACTCGCAATTCCAACTCCTGACTCGCTACAGTGGTTTTGACGAAACAAGCTGTTTTTTATACTGCCGCTCGTACCAAGAGTGTGGGGAGCTGAAACGTGCGTATGTCACGAAGTGCGGAACATCCAATAGGAAAATTAAACTGCAGTAGCCACCGTTCAACCTGAAGAGGGCAGCACTAAGATGTTTTTACACCATATATTGTAGAAATAAAAAAAACTTTATACACAAATGTCAAAAAAGTTACTCGAATCAATGACCGGTATTAATAAAGATCCATTCTTAGGCTGTGTGTCCACCAAAGCATTTTTCCACGCGCCTGGCGTATGTTTTCAATTGTTTTCAATGGGAGCGCCGCGTTTTTTAAACGCCATGAGCGTAATGAGGCGCTGAGCGTTTTTGTCACGCTGAAGCGTCGAGCGCCCGGCGTTTTTACTGGTCGCTGGGAGTTGAAAAATGTTCAACTTTGGATAAAACGCAGCGCTCATCACTGTCACTTTTTACCCAGCCGTCCAATCACAGTGGAGGAGGGGCGGGACTAATACCACACCGACCAACTGTCACAACATTCAAATTGCTGCGGATATTCTGTATCATAGCAATGAAACGTCTCAACAGAAAAAACGCTGCGCTGCCAAAATGCTCTCAAGCGCCCAAAGCACGGCGTTTTCAGCAGAGCGTCTATCGTTTTCAGCTGGATAAAAATGCTTTGGTGGACACACCGCCTTACAGTGCATTAACTAAAAAAAGTTGGTTTAGGGTTTAGTTACTTTTTAATATATTTTTATGTTGAAATACTTTCGCATTAATCTCCAAATTAACATAGAAACAATTTAAAAAATATTATTTAAAAAATGTGTTTAATGTTAAATTGTTTTACCGAGCGGCAGGGGCAACATGGATGCTGTGTCAATTGGTAAATATTTTTAACACATTAAACAGAAGAAGAAAATCGCAAAAGCGAACGTGTTATTTATGAAAGCCAAGTAAAAGTTTACAAAATGTGTTAACTTAACAATAAGGCCAGATTGAACATGAGTGTTCGAGTGTTTCCTGAAGATACGAATGGAGAATATAAACAATCTGCAGTGCAACTGGCTTTCACATCTCTTCTTTTCATCATTTGTTTAAAGTAGAGTTCACTAAGCGGGTCTCAGTGATGGTGAATTGTTTTGTTTGTTTTTATATTTATGCCAATTTTTGTACGCATGTTGAAACATAAACAATAAAAATGTCTCCATGGGGATAATAAAGCAGTCAAGTCCAGTCTTCTTTTTGCTTCACTTGTGGAATGACACATGACCCCGAGGCTGAGATCTCATTGGTGTGTGTGTGTGTGTGTTGAGGTCGGTGTGAGGCTGTGATTGGCTCACCTGCTGTCTTTGCCGTTAGGGATCGCCGAGTGCCGCTCTGTGCTGGATCTCTCACACACATACGTGTTCCTCCTGGTCATTCCGGCAGCGCTGTTCTGCTCACACAAACACACATTAATCAGACACTGAGCGCGTGCGGGCTGCGGTCAGGCGCGTGTCAGCGCTGTGAGGTCTCACCCCTGCGGCCGAGGTCTTCCTGCGCTCCTGGGCCACCAGAGGAGAGACGGCCACGTCCGCTTTCGAGCTGGAGGAGGCCAGCTTACGGGACGCGTCCCACTCCTCCTTCTTCTCCCCCTCCACGCTGTTGGCCTGCGAGCGCTTGGTGTAAGACACGGTCGGGGGGATGGACGGGGCGACTGCAAAAACACCACACTTGTACATCCATGATAGAAATATCATCTCAGAATCAAACACTCAAGTTATCCTCATTTATACAGCGCTTTTAACAATGTAGATCGCCTCAAAGCAGCTTTACAGAGACAAACAGATGTTTTATAGCGGTTCTTGAATGTTATTTTCCAGCTAAAGTTACTTTAGATTGATTCACTTCTTTTGAAATGATCATTTGTTATTAAATTAGGGGGCGCTAGACGACACCGACACTGAACCTGTGATAAACGCTGATAGCGTCAACATGCGTATTAAAGGAGTAGTTCACTTTTAAAAAAAACTTTTGCTGATAATTTACTCACCCCCATGTCATCCAAGATGTCCATGTCTTTCTTTCTTCAGTCGAAAAGAAATTAAGGTGTTTGATGAAAACATTCCAGGATTTTCTTCATATAATGGACTTCAAAGGGAACCAAACGGTTCAAGGTCCAAAAGACAGTTTCAGTGCAAACTGTTCAAAGGTTCATTCAACAAACAAAATTAACGAATTGACTCTGGAAAAGATTCGTTCATTTTGTTGCATCACAGAACAGAGCAAGGCGAGCATTTGAGCTTATAAAACATAAACTTAGTTATTTATTTATTAAATGAGCGATCGTTTCGCTTGATAAGACCCTTATTCATCGTCTGGAATCGTTTAAAGCCCTTTGAACAGTTTGCACTGAAACTGCCTTTTGGACCTTGAACTGTTTGGTTCCCATTGAAGTCCATTATATGGAGAAAAAACCTGGAATCGACTGAAGAAAGAAAGACATGGACATCTTGGATGAGTAAATCATCAGCAAAAGTTTTTTTTAAAAGTGAACTACTCCTTTAAGAATTGATCCTATAGTTATGTGTGCAGGTTTGTAATTCCCTGAACAAACTACTTGTCTTGCCTATAAATTTTGATACAGAATTTTATTTTATTTTACCACTTCGGGGTTGGTACGTGAACCGAAATTTCCACAGCGCTTTATCTGTAGTGGAATAGGGATCCTCCATTGGGGGCCGTTATCATCAACTTTGAGTTCTTTTTAAATATGGACATTTTGATGAAGTCAAGTCTAATTGTTTTCCACAATAATATCTTAGTGTCACAATAGTATCTTCATGCCTTATGAGATCTCAGCAGTTATGATTTGCTATACTGTTGTTACGTAATCAGATTACTTTTAGCATAAAGCTAAGCGATGCAAGTGTATAAGCTTATCGCCCTACGCTAGTTACTGTATGTCTGTGGATAAAGTTGGACATTTGTACTGTATACTTATATATACATACACAAATTCATATAAAGTGAGATAATGGTTACATTTTGATTAAATAAATTGAGCAGTTATGATTTGCTATACAGTAGTGTTGAGGGTAAAGCAGTACAAGTACAAGTATGTAATCAGATTACTTTTAAGTAACTAGTAAAGTAATGTAAGTAAGGAAAGTTACTTTGTTTCCCATTTATTGCCTGACTTTGCATTTCCTTTAGCCTGAGGCTTATTCGTTTCACGGTTGGTGTGAAAGGGCCCTTATATTTGCCCAAAATTGTTTTTTGTTTGTTTGTTATTAATAAACTAAAACGAAACCCAGCCCAGGTGAGGAAGAGTAACACAAAAGCAACTTTACGCAATACTTTCAATAAAACGCAATACTGTTAAAAGTAACTCTCCAATCGATTCACGAGAGTTTACTGTTTGCATTACACTGGATATAATACTGTATATATGCAACTTTATATAGACAACTGTGCGATAATACAGTTTACAATTTCCAGCAGTTGATATTTGCTATTTAGTTTGTATACCATTTCACGAGGATACAGTATATGTGCGGCTAAAGCAGGATATACTATATATGCAATAGGGCTGGGTATTGAGACAAATTTCACAATTCGATTCGATTTCGATTCACAAGCTTGCAATTCGATTAGATTTCGATTACGATTCGATTCAATATCGATTATTTTGGATATCAGTTACAATAAATGGCAATTTTTCTCAAGGGAATCAAATCTCTTAACTAATGCTGTAAACTATGGGAGTCTAGTTGTAGCCTATAGGCTTCATTAGCCTAATATGAAGGTAATAATGAACAGTTTTGTAGCTATACAAACACTTAGATTACACTTTTGTTTATTTTTATAATAAGAAGATTATATGAAATATAAACATTTAAATGGTGGCTGTCATACAAACTTGCCAGATTTATTCAAATATGCATTAAATATTGAAGAACACTAAGATTATAATGCATATGTAATATGGTGTATATATTTAGCAAAATGCTCCTCTCCAGAGTTATTTTTTCTAGCTGACTAAGGAGTTGATGTGGGTTTTCTGAGGTAAATATGACGATGACATTGATTACAAGCTGTTTAACTGACGTCTTTCCACGGTTGAAACGTTGATTAAGCGAATCAATGTGACATGATCCGGATTTTGATAAGTTGTACTCTATCTTTAACACACTTTCAGATGCTCATTCATGTTTATTTGGCGCTGTGACTGGTATTATTAACCCGGAAGAGAGATCAGCGCTGCTGCTTCTCCAGAGCGATCTCACGCCACAGCACCAAAATGTTATTTATGTTTTTGAATTTCTAAAGAAAATGGAAGTAATTTGAAAATTGAGACTTTGTATCATATCAATAGTAACAAAGGACAAAGATTATTACGATTTTTTGGATGTGCGCAGCTGTGATAAAATGTCCATTCATTTAAATGAAACAGGATGACTAATCGATTCTTGAGATTTAAGAATCGATATCGGTTCGTAAAAATGAGAATTGATTAATATCGAGAAACCGATATTTATTACCCAGCCCTAATATGCAACTTTGAAAATATCACTGGGCGATGATATAACTTACATTTTGCGACAATATAAAAACATTTTAACAAACAGATTAAACCCTTTTCACTTTTAAAATGCCTTTTCTGTAAAGCTTTTCTTGTTTTACATTTTTCCTGACTCACACTTTGAAATCATGAACTATGAAAATCCATTCTGAATGTACTAAAACTGTGCATGCCACATTCTTTGTGTAGACTTCACATCTAAATCGAGCTAACATCAGTTTCTGAATTCATTTTTGTTTATACATCTCAATTTTTTTAGCTAAATCCTTTCTCATTCAGAATCCAGTGTTGGTTGTCATACTGTATATGATCCCATGTTAATATTAATAATGTTTTTATTTATACAGCGCCTTTCGAGAACACAAGGACACTTTACACAATCTTGAAAGTGAGAATATGCAAGCGGGAGAGGGAGCCAGTGCTAGGATGTGAGCTGGTTTTGTTAATGTAAGGGCATGAGCAGTTCTGAGTTAGCTCCAGCCGATTAATGGTTACGAACACACAGTTCCAGTGGTCCAGGCGTGAGGTTATGAGTGTGTGTGTACCGTGGTCGCTGAAGCGGCGCTGTTTCTGCGTGGCGGAGATGCTGCGCTGGACTTTGGAGTGAGCGGGAGACGGCGTGGAGCTGTTGTTCAGGTCACTGCTGGGGCGGGACCTCTGACACAGGTTTGTGGAGGACAGCGAATCGCTCCCTTCAAACTGCCACGCGCAAACAAACCACAGGATTAGAGTTATTAGTCACATTATTATCACATATGGAAGTGAAACTAAGCTCAATGCCTACGTTTACATGCACAACTTCAGACTGAATTCATCCTGATTGATGAATCCGAACGCTGAACATGTGATCGGGTGGATGTGTGCGTTTATTTGTCACGAGCTTCAAACAGGAATAGATGTTTTGACATGTGCACACTGGACAAATATACAGTTATAACTATTATCCAGCATTGGTTCTTTATTTGTTTTAAACAGCAGACTTAAAGGAGTAGTTCACTTTTGAAAAAACTTTTGCTGATAATTTACTCACCCCCATGTCATCCAAGATGTCCATGTCTTTCTTTCTTCAGTCGAAAAGAAATTAAGGTTTTTGATGAAAACATTCCAGGATTTTTCTCCATAAAATGGACTTCAATGGGAACCAAACGGTTCAAGGTCCAAAAGACAGTTTCAGTGCAAACTGTTCAAAGGGCTTTAAACGATTCCAGGCGATGAATAAGGGTGTTATCAAGCGAAACGATCACTCATTTAATAAATAAATAACAAAGTTTAAGTTTTATAAGCTCAAATGCTCGCCTTGCTCTGTTCTGTGATGAGCGTTCGTGACTCTCCTGTTCGAACTCGTTCATCAAAATGAACAAATCTTTTTTCGAGTCATTTGGTTCATTCAACAAACGAAATGAACGATTTGACTCAGAAAAAGATTCGTTCATTTTGATGAACAGGAGAGTCACGAATGCGGATCACAGAACAGAGCAATGCGAGCATTTCAGCTTCTAAAACTTAAACTTTGTTATTTATTTATTAAATGAGCGATCGTTTCGCTTGATAAGACCCTTATTCATCGTCTGGAATCGTTTAAAGCCCTTTGAACAGTTTGTACTGAAACTCTCTTTTGGACCTTGAACCGTTTGGTCCATTATATGGAGAAAATCCTGGAATGTTTTCATCAAAAACCTTAATTTCTTTCCGATTGAAGAAAGAAAGACATGGACATCTTGGATAGGGTTGGGTATCGAGAATCGAGTATCGATTGGAACCGGGACTAACTTTTCGTTTTTCCCGGAATCGTTCAAAAGTTAAAATTTCGATTCCTAGTTTCGATATTCACAGTCCGCCGAGCGGAAGAAGAAACCGCTGAACAACACCAACGAAGAAGCGTCTACCGGAAGTGTCTGCATAACCGCGCGAGTCGAACATGAGTACCTTACGTCGGCGGTCCAAAGTGTGGCTTCACTTTTCCTAAAAATAACGAAATCTCGGCAAAATGCAAAATTTGTGACAAAAGGAGTATTTTTACAGAAGGAGTATTTCCTTCAGAAAGGCCGTTGGTTAGCAAGGTTAGCTAAACTTTTTTGACCCTGCCTCTTAAAAGAATCGGAATCGAGAATCGTTAGGAACCGGAATCGAAACAAGGAATCGGAATCGGAATCAGAATCGTTCAAATTCAAACGATACCCAACCCTAATCTTGGATGACATGGGGATGAGTAAATTATCAGCAAAAGTTTTTTTAAAAGTGAACTACTCCTTTAATTTCCATTTCTGGTCATAATTTGGAGACATGAGCATATGAACTGTTGTATATTTATGTGGATGAGTCTGAAAGCAGGACTGGTGGGCCGCTGTCCGGCTCCACTTCACACACACACACAGTGAAAGGAGAATTATAGTGATGGGACACTCATTTATTCAACAGGAACGGCTCGTTCCGTTCGTCATTGCGCTATTTCTACGTCACTGCACATGCGCAGTCCCGATCAAGTGTTCACATGTTCTCTCGATCGGATAAGTAAAGGAATAAACCAGTACTTTCAATCCGATGGAAGTTTAATTGGGATCGAGCTCAATCGGATCATTTAAGGTGTTTACATGACGGATATTTAGTCCGATACTGACGGATTATTTGGTTGCATGTAAACACAAGCGCAGGGTGTACAGAGACTTGCCTCTGGAGGTTTCCTGCCCAGCAGAAGATACGTGGCCATGACCTCATCATACTTCTGCCCCACTAACGCCTCTGTGATCTCGTCTTTAGGGAAACCCATGGTGATCATGAGTTCTGAAAGAGATGAGGGTTATTCACACACAATTCCTTGTGTCTCTCAATGCATGAAAGGAAATGTTCTTGCCATGTGGTGTATTTTTAGTTTTGCCCATTATGAAAACAAATGCATGAGCAGGAAATGAGGAGGGATAGCACAGACCTATGCGTTTGGTGTCGCTGAAGTCGGGCTCGGGTTCTGTATACGGCTTCAGCTCCTCTTCCTCGTGACCTACATTCATCCAGCGGTCCTTCATGATTTGCTGTGCAAGATCGGCAGATGTTAAACTACATGTTTTTAAATCGTAACACTGATGTGATGATGCTAGAAGAACAGACGACGGCCTTTAAATGCATACTTTGATACAAATTTCTTTTTTACCACAAGGCAAAAAATAGAAAGGCGGGTCGTAACTGTGTGTTATGTATGATTAAAGTTGTAAATGTACTGTAACTGAATTGCAGTCCTGATATCACAGCACATTATTGAGCATATATATGCTTCTAGTTCATTTGCAGCACATTTGTTTATACTTTCCTAGGTTAGGCTTTTACTAGGACCTATGAAATAAATTGAGTAACGAAATAATTAATATACCTATTATGAAACGTTTGGTAACACTTTATAATAACTACACGCTAATAATAATTAGTTAAGCATGAGTAAACCATTAATGCATCATTCATAAAGCATTAATAGACATTAATAAGCAGTTTATAAATACAGCTATAAATGCTTTCTTCTTAATTTAAAAAGCGTATCTATAATTTGTTAAATAATTGTATTTTCATCCTTTATTAATGATCAATTTATCATTTCTAAATGAAGAATTGCAATTTTTATGAACCAGTTCTTTGAGAGTTGTCAATGGTTCATAAGATTACTTAGAGTGTGTAAGTAAATGATTAATAAACTATTTAAATGAACATTCATACAGCTTATCATTCAGACATATAGTGATGGTTACTTAATGTGTTAATAAATGCTTTATTAAAAATGTATCAATGCTGTAATTCAGGGTTAATTTGGGTAGTTATAAACCATTTAGTAGTGGTCAGTTGACGATGTTCGTGAGCTCATCTAAAGTGAGGACTAGTCATGCCTTGTAAAGCATTTATAAAGGCTGTTAAATATTTCTATGTTCTGTATCACTGCGTTGTGTTTGTTACTTTTTACTGTTTAGAAGATTGATGAGCCTTTAAATCGCCTTTATAAATGCTTTACAAAGCATGAATTTACTCACTTTAGATTAGCTCACAAAAATAGTTAACTAACCACTACTAAATGCTTTATAACTACCTGTATTAACTACATTTACTTACACTTTCTAAGTGATCTTATGAATGACTGACAACTCTTAAACAACTGGTTTGTAAATAATGCTATACTTCATTTAGAAATTATTAATTGATCATTAACAAAGTATGAAAATACAATTATTAAACGCATTATAGATATTCTTATAAATCAAGAAAAAAGCATGTATAGCTATATTTATAAACTGCTTATTAAGGTCTATTAATGTTTTATAAATGATGAATTAACGGTTTACTCATGCTTAACTAATGATTAATAGCGTGCAGTTATTATAAAGTGTTACCAAACGTTTTATTTTACAGTGCAGTTGTACTACAATGTATTCATAATGAATTAATAAATTAATAATGCAATTATTAATTGCATTTCCAACTGAGTACTACTCAGAGTTTCAGTTGATAAAGAAAAAATACTTTGACTCAAGATACTGCACAATTTTTGCCATTTATGCTGTGGCATGTTTCCCTGTGGTAAAGAATATAGAACTGAATGTACAATTTTTCAAAGTATTGTATCATAGTAAGTATTTCTAGTATCTAGTATCCTAATTCTAGTATTTTAGTACGTGGCTGCACTAAAGGCACATAATATTATCTGTAGCAGATTTAGACAGGTGGAGCTGGGGAGGTGGAGACCGGTCAGCTTACGCTATCTAGAGTTTTCTTACTGAAGTCATAAACCAGTAAAATGTGTGATAATCCAGGTTTATTGCTTACAAGCATGAATGTTGAGAGTTACAACAAAAGGGGAGCCATAAGACTCAGGATTAAACATTCAAGTATGGACAACTTTTATGAAACCTCTTATTAGTGGAGCGGCTAAGTGCTTATGTTTGGCAGAATCGTTCAGTTTATGATATAAGCGTGAAAATTGGCACGAGCAGTCTCCATTGGTCACTTGACAAGAAAATTGTCAGAGCCACTTGAAATTTCAAGATGGCGGCCATTTTTTCAAGATTGCCTACACCTTAATGTAGCAGTTAAGTGATATAGTGGTTTATTGGGTGATACAAGCATGAAAATTGGCATGAGCAGTCACTGATGGTCACTAGAAAATAAACCACCCACAGCTACATGAAATTTCAAGATGGCGGCCATTTTTCAAGATTAATACCACCTAAATGGAGCAGTTAAAGGGATAGTTCACTTTGAAATGAATTTTTGATATGTTTTAGCTTACCTCAAGGGCATCCAAGATGTAGGTGTCTTTGTTTCCACAGTATTTTCAATTTTGACATTTTTCAGTCAAACCGTTCTTGTCTATCAGTCATACACTGGAGGCTAAGGGGGTCCACCAAAAAGCATGCACAGAGAAGTTCAGATTAAACATGATTTAATGACTCATACATGTAAGTACACATTGATGGCCTAAGACCCGAAACGAGCGGTTTGTGTGAGAAAACGAACAGTATTTATATCGTTTTTACCTCTTGTAATCATAGCCATGACAAAATGATCTGACGGCACGGGCGCTTCGGTCTGCGCATGCGCCGGAAGTGATCGCTTGCTCGCCTACGTCACTCTTTTTTTTATACAGAGATTTCAGAAGTTTTACCTTTCACTAAACATATTTAGATATACGGGAAACCGCAATGGAAGACGATTTTGGTATATCTAAATATGTTTAGTAAAAGGTAAAACTTCCGAAATCTCCGTGTAAATATTGAGTGACGTCACACGCAAGCGATCACTTCCGGCGTAACATTGAACTGATTCAGTTCGGTTCAGTTGGACATTGAACAACTGATTCAGATCACTGTGATTACAAGAGGTAAAAACGATATAAATACTGTTGGTTTTCTCACACAAACCGCTCGTTTCGTGTCTTAGGCCATCAATGTTTACTTACATATACGAGTCATTAAATCATGTTTAATTTGGACTTCTCTGTGCATGCTTTTTGGTGGACCCCCTTAGCCTCCAGTGTATGACTCATAGACAACAACGGTTTGACTGAAAAATGTCAAAATTGAAAATACTGCAGAAACAAAGACACCTACATCTTGGATGCCCTTGAGGTATGATAAAACATATCAAAAATTAATTTCAAAGTGAACTATCCCTTTAAGTGACATAATTGTTTAGTTAGTGACATAAGCATGCAAATTAGTGTGAGCTACGGGTTGCTTGACAAGAAAGGGTTGCTCATGCCAATTTTCATGCTTGTATCACCAAATAAACCACTATATCACTTAACTGCTCCACTAAGGTGTCGGCCATCTTGAAAAATGGCCACCATCTTAAAATTTCAAGTGGCTCGGACAATTTTCTTGTCAAGTGACCCATGTAGATTGCTCGTGCCAATTGTCACTCTTGTATCATAAACTGAACGATTATATCACTTAGCCGCTCCCCTATGTGGTGATATTGGTCTTTTTCTGAGTTTACAGTTGCCCTGTTCACGTGCGGTAAAGAGCATTCTGTGAAACATCTCCTTTTGTGTTTGTGTGTGTAGAGAGTCTCACCTCTAGACTTCCCCGTTTGCCTGGGTTAAGCACCAAGAGTTTCTTCAGAAGATTTTCACAGTCAGTGGACATGTAGAAGGGTATGCGATACTTCCCTCGCAACACTCTCTCTCGCAGCTCCTGTGTGGACCAACAGTCAGAGTAAGGGCGATGAACAGTGTGTGCTTGAGTGACCTTGAGTGAAACAGCAAGTGACCTTCAGGTTCTGTCCGTCGAAGGGAAGCGACCCGCTGACCAGCGTGTAGAGGATCACCCCCAGACTCCAGACGTCCACCTCGGGCCCGTCGTACTTCTTGCCCTGGAAGAGTTCGGGAGCCGCGTACGGGGGACTGCCGCAGAACGTGTCCAGCTTACTCCCGATCGTGAACTCGTTACTGAAGCCGAAGTCTGCGATCTTTATATTCATGTCCGCGTCTAGCAGCAAGTTTTCAGCCTTACAGAGAGAGACGGAAAACGAAAGGTCAGCATCGTGTTACGAACATGTGACCCTGGATCGCAAAACCAGTCACGAGTCGCACGGGCTTATCTGTGGCAAAAGCCAACAATACAATAATTCAAAATGATCGATTGTGCCAAAAATTATTAGGATATTGTATATGTATATCATGTATAAATTAGGGCTGTCAAATGATTAATCGCACCCAAAATAAAAGTTTGTGTTTACATAATATATGTGGGTCAACTGTGTATAATTATTTTTTATATATATATAAATACACACACATGCATGTATATTTAAGAAAAAAAAATATTTATATAAAAAATATGTATATGTATATTTATATATAATATAAATTATATATAAATCTATATACAGTATATACATGAAAATATTTTTTATAAATATATACAAGTAAGCATGTGTATTTATATATATATATATATAATAATTATACACAGTGCACCCACATTATATTATATTATTAGTTTGTGTTATGTATTAAACACAAACTTTTATTTTGGATGCAATTAATCATGATTAATCATTTGACGGCCCTAATATAAATATATAAAACATATTTTTGTGAGTGAATGCAACACAACAGTTGAGTTTTACCATTTTTGAATCCATTCAGCTGATTTTCTGATATTTAGAAGAATATCCGTAACCAGACAGTTTCTGGTCTCATTGACTTCCATAGTAGGAAAAAAATATACAATGGAAGTCAATGAGACCAGAAACTGTCTGGTTACGGATATTCTTCTAAACATCAGAAAATCGGCTGAATGGATTCAAAAACAGTAAAACTCAACTGTTTAACTCTGGGGGAGTTGTAAAATGAGCCTATTTCCAAAAAAAGTGGAGTATCCCTTTAAAGATGATTTTGTCAATGTTTGATTTTTCTGCACCCTAGTTGTATCTCATAAACATCCTAACAAACCCTACATCAAAGCTTATTTATTCAGCCTTCAGATGCTGTATAAATCTCAATTTAAAAACATAATTACCCATGTGACTGGTTTTGTGGTCCAGGGTCACATTAGAAATCAATGAAACACAAATCATTAACGGTGACCAGAGCTTAAACCTCTCTGAGTGAGTCTCACCTTGAGATCCCTGTGGACTATTCTCTTCTGGTGGCAATATTGCACTGCAGACACGATCTGTATTCACACACACACAAACACACACAAAGTCACATTAGCATGGCAATTAATGTGTGATTCCACACACAACACATTCCACAAACCACAAAAAAGCCTTTTTATCCACAAATTAAAGCTGAGAAAGTCTCTTAAATTGTACACGTGCTAGACGGACATGGCGTTTTCACACCTGTAGATCGTTTGCTTTCTTCCGAAACACGAATTAAAATTGTTACAATGTTGCAATTTCTTCCTGGTTTGGTTCACTTTCACAAGGCAGGATTTTGCGTAGAAAAGGAAACGCGTAGAAAACACTGGGCGCACCACATTCTCCTTTTTCCAAAGCGCTAGGGCGGTTGTGCTCCGGTTGGTTTTTGTCACATGACCTACTGTACGCTTATGGTGCCCTTGTGGCATTCTGAAAAGTTGAGATGTTATTATCTTGATGCGGCGTGAAAAATCGAGCGTGTCGCACCGCGACCGCGTTCGCTTCCATTAAGCCTTGTGTATACTCGACATGTCCGCAAGAGCGCGAAGGGCGCGCGGCAAAAATTACGTTGTTGTGGTGTGTGCGGTTGTGCACGTTGGGTGTGCAAGACCTCATTTCGCGCCGCATCCGAAGATGAACGACTTCGAGCCGAATCTGGCCGAACTGGTACGATCTGTACCAACGTGTTTATGATCCTTCTATACACAGAGACATTTGCATTGATGGGCGACCATAACATCTCATTTTGTGAACAGGAACACAACACGCTCATGCAGACGCGTCGAGTATACACCATAGACTGTAAAAAATATGGACAAAGCGTCTGTGACGTCACCCGTAGACTTTCTGAAGAACGGGTTTGAGGCCGTTTATGGGGGGTATGGGCGGCGCCATACTGTAAAATCTTGGGAAATACAAAATACAAATCAAGAGTCAAGTCAGGTTAAGCTCATTGGTCGGATAGACAACAGCTCCGCCGGCTAATTAAGGCCGGATTCACATATAGCGCCTAAAAACGCGTAGAAAACGCTGGGCACGCCGCATTCTCCATTTTCCAAAGCGCCAGGGCGGTTGCGCTTCAGTTGGTTCTTGTCACATGACTTATTGTGTGCGTATGGTGCGCTTGCGGTTTTCTGAAAAGTTGAGATGTTTTTATCTCGACGCATGGAAAAAACGAGCGCGTCGCACCGCGACCGCATCGCTTCCATTAGGAGCGCGCATACCGCGCACCTACATTTGAAATAACGAACTTGAGCGCGCAAAAGACGCGATATGTGAACCGGCCCTAAGGCTTTCTTTGTAGCTGTCGTTATCATTTTGAGCAAGAATTAAGCCTTCATCTGTATATTTGTGTGTTTTGGACAGTTGTTCTGAAATATTTGTCCGAACAAATTTTAATTAGACATTTTACTTCGTATTTAATCGAGATCAACCCATGATTCATTTAGCAAAACTAACACTGCGAATTTTTTTCACAAAACGTGAGTGATGACCCCTCATACACTGTGATCCAGCCTAGTTTGCTGTTGTCATCACAAGCGACCCGCTCCTGAGTCCGTTTTCAAGAGGACCGGGCGCCTCGATCCCAGATCAGTTGTTTTGGTGTGGATCAGAGCGAGTCCTAAACCAACTGAACTACTGAAGAAACTGCGTCAGATTCAGGAACTAAGGGTTCTTTCACACCTGCGCGTTTGTTGACCCTGGTGTTTTCTCCCTTGGTTCGGCTCGTTTAGGCATCCGTGAACACGGCAATCGCAACAAAACCACCTGAACCAGGCTGTCTCGGCCAGACTGCAAACAAACTCTGGGACGGTTTGCTTGAGGTGTGAAAGCAATCCGACCCAACGGACCAACAAACCAAATTATATTATAATTCATAGCGGGAAATGTGCTTTATAAACAGCAGTAGAGTCTGACTCTGTGAGAATATAATCTAACAATGGGAACGACGTCTGCTTTAGGACAGTGTTTGGATGTGTCAGCCACAATAAGCTCGCCGAACGAACTTGTCAATCATCTTGATGGACGTTGAGGACATTGACAAATAAGAGGATGATTGTACTCACATGTGACTTCCATAAACACATTTTGGTACGCTTTGAAAGGTTGCCTTGAGAAAGCAAACCAAACCAAGAAGAAAATGCAACACTGTCACAAATTAAGTCCCTGTTTCAGAACAAAACAACCGATCTGAAGGTGTGAAAACGCCCCAACACTCCCAATGAACCAGGTGTGAAAACGCCCCAACAGGCCTTAATGTCACTGCAGTTGAGAGAGAGACAGATACATAAAGAGAGAGAGAGAGAGAGTCTTATATTCTCAGTTCTCTTATATATAAAAGCAGTGACTGAAGCCGAGGGCTTTTGTTTGGCTTCATGAGCTGAGCTGACTGGAAATGGCCAGTTATTGTCGGGCAGCAGGGGTTTAATCACACACACTCCCGCTGGTTCACAGTTATCATCACAGGATCAGCGGATGTCTCCACTAGAGGGTGTGTATGAGTTCAGTCATCTCTCCTACTACACTAACCCACGCTGAGATCAGTGTGTGTTTACTGATCAGGATATCAGTCTCTCTTTAAACGTGCCATTAATGTCAAATACTACATCTGATATTCACGTTTTTTTCTCTCTCAAATAGATGTTTTAGGAATCATCATAGCAATCATTTTTCAACCAAATAGCCATTGTTAATCGGAATCAAAATGCAATAAATACTGTTAAAATAAATGTACTTTATTGAAATAATTTTATGTAAACTAACATTACAATACATATTAATAAACAGCAATTTTTACCCACATTTATTTGTAGTAAAATATAATTGAGTGTGCAAAATTAACAAGAACATTTTATTACTTAAAACATTGATTCACTGAAAAAAAAAAAAATAATAATAATTGGAAGTTAAAATCAGGGATGTGTTAATTAACACTTTACGCAACTTAACTGCCCAAAATATGCATTGAGATTTTCTTGATAATTGTATATTGTTATCAAAAATATAGCATATACCTTAAATATTTCACTAAATATTTAAATATTTTCTTAAATATTTAAGAAATATTTCACACTAAATATTTCACTAAGTAACAATTTTAAGGCTATTACACTCTAAAAAATGCTGGGTTGTTTTAACCCAATTTTGGGTCAAATATGGACAAACCCAAAATGCTGGGTTAAAAATTTAATGTAAAAATTTAACCCAACGGCTGGGTTAGTCCATATTTGACCCAAAGTTGGGTTAAAACAACCCAGCATTTTTTAGAGTGTAGTACTTTTTAATTCACTTAGTTTCTAGTATGCACTTGGTTTCTAGTAACTTTTGATAGTAACTAATATCCCTCCAATTATACTGGTAACAATTGATTCAACACAAGAACTTATCAGTTATATATTAGAAAATATTCCAAAACTGGTTATTTAAATGTATTTTTTTACTATTTTAAGGTAGTATGCCAACCCTACTTACAAACCCTGGTCAGTGTAGGAAAATAACATTTTGAATAATCCACATCTGTAAAGTTTGTACGTACAAATATTTATTTAATATAATATATATATATTAAATACATTTATTTAATATCTGAACTAGACAGAATGATGAAATTCTGTGATTTGAACAGAGATAACTTGTAATTGTGATATTGCACAGTGTTTTATCATTGATAAGACAGAGATGTCCCTTACGAAAAATAACTGCAGTACAATGAAGTACAACTGTAGAATTGCAGTATTAACGAAGTATAACTGCAGTATAGATACAATGTGACTAGAGTACATTGAAGTGCAACTGCAGTAAAACCACAGTACAAAAAGTACAACTTCAGAATAGTGAAGTAAAACTGCAGTACAACTGTAGATTTGCAGTATTAACAAAGTATAACTGCAGTATAGATACATGTGACTGCAGTACAACTGTAGATTTGCTGTATTAACGAAGTATAACTGCAGTATAGATACAATGTGACTGCAGTACAACTGTAGATTTGCTGTATTAACGAAGTATAACTGCAGTATAGATACAATGTGACTAGAGTACATTGAAGTGCAACTGCAGTAAAACAGCAGTACAAAAAGTACAACTTCAGAATAGTGAAGTAAAATTGCAGTACAACTGTAGATTTGCAGTATAATGAAGTAGTAGCAATAACTTCAGTTCAGTGATACTTTTTTTGATAGAGAAAACTAATCCATTTTTTTTAGCTTTTTGTTTTTATTGGGCTCTCAGGCAATGATATCAGTTTAGTTGCCATTAAAAAGTGAAATTACTGAACCTAAATAAAGGAGCTTTATAGTATGAAAAAAAGACGGATGAAGTTTTTGTTTTTTACATAAGTCTCTTGGCCTACCAATATTAAACTGTACTGCAGTTATGCTGTTTTGTGCGAGACATAGCCCATGTGACCAGAGCTTCCTTCGCGCGCACGCGCCGCGGGCGTTGTCCAGACAACGAGTCTCGAGAGCAGCTGATGCTCATTACTGTCAGTCAGCGTCTTTCCGCGTAGTGTCTGCTCCATAAAATACGGTTTGGTTGATTTCCTCACTGAAATTATCGTTCATATAGGTTCATATTTATGAACTATCACAATTAAAACACAAAGACATGACAGCATTAGCTACTCGTGGTGACGACGGTCATTAACAAGTGGAATGGAAGAGAAGCGTTTTCTGGAAGAAAAGTAGTTCATTGCGCGAGGCCTTGTCAAGTCATTCAGCTTAGAGGTGAGTAAATTATAACATAATGTCCTCATATTTCTCCTTTTTTTATTTTAGTTTGGTGTAAAAAAGACTTTACGTATATGTTGTTCAACCCGGTGGGAAAATCACGCCGCTTCTATTCTGTAATGTTAGTTTTACCATTCTCCGGTTTAACGTTACACTGTTTAACGTTAGTGTTAACTGCGTCACAGCAGATTGTGTAACTTATGTTTGCACTTTGCAGCATTATTGTCTTATCACTTTTGACTTTTAACGCATTTTTTAAAAAAACTATCTGTATTGTATGAAGTGCTATACACCGTGACTTTACTTGTTTAAATTTAATATCAGAAATATTAGAAATATCAGACACTAACTTACTGGAAAATACAAGCAAATATGTTCAGTAGTTTGACATTATGTGCAGAAAATATTTTTTTTTTTTTTTTTTTTTTTTTTTTTTTAAGTAGCTAACTTACTTTTTTTGTGTGATTGCTATTTCCAGGAAAATGTACTGGTAACAACTAAAAACAGAAGACGATTTCTGGGGTGAAACAAATATGCACTCACAGACTTTAAAAAATGTGTCTCTGCTTTTTTCCAGAAATGCATGTTATTGGGCAAATTGTGTAGACTGTCAATGGAGTGACAGAAAGATTTCATCAAAAATATCTTCAGTTGTGTTCCCCGTGTCTTGTGGGGTTGGAATGACATGAGGGTGAGTAATTTAACTTTTTATCTGGAGTGTTCAAACTCATTATTAATGCTGAACAATAAACCATAAATTAACATAAATAGGATGTAATTCAATAAGATTAAATCTAATATGGATATGTCTAGATATAGAATAACATTTTTCTAAAGAAAACCTCAAAAAGGTTCATTATAGATACAGTAAACACCTGTTCACTGGTCATTTTCCACAGCTGTATGCAAAGGCAAGTGGGCTTCTCCTGGGAGACTAAATTAATCACCTAGTTTAGCGCTGTCTACTGTTTTAGAAGAGGAAGTTGCTCAACTGCATTTGTGAGAAAATTGAGCCGAGATCTCTTATATAAAGCCAAGTGTTAGGGACGCACGATGACATCAGCACGACATCGGTATCAGCCGATAAAAGCTTAATGATCATCGGTATCGGCCGATAGTAATATCTCTGCCGATGAGCCTTGCCAATATGTGGTGGATATACTATGCGCACGTGACGACCGTGAACGTAGCATGAGCGCCAGCAACTTAAATGTCCAGCTGTGTGGAGGAAAAGGTGCGCTTCAGTATCGAGTTCTTTTTCAGGCTTGAACAAACCATAACACACACATAATGTGTGCCAAAATGTCAGTTTTGTCGAGTGTCCTCATTAGAGCAGTTTTAAAGGTCCCCTGACATTTAAAAAAAAAAAATTTTTTTATTATTATTTTATAATGTTTCCTGGGTTGCCCTTATGTTAGTATGTTTTTTAGATCAAAAATAGTCATAATTTAGAAATAAAAGGCATTTTTCCTAGCCTGATTTAATTTTAGCCTCTGCTTTGCACGCTCTGTTTGAAGGGGCGTGTCTGCTGTGGGATTCAATGTAACCGCCCACTGCTGTGATTGGCTGACATGCTTGCATATGAAATAGCTACATATTACATGTGAAACTCTCTTGAATACTTTTACTATTATACGTTTTTACTATTACACATATCGAGATTACTGAATCGTGAGAAGTTTTTGAAGTATTTAGATTCTCATCACATAAAATGTTGCTGTGATGAGCAATGAGAAGCAGATGACAGTCTGTCGATCGCGAGAATGAAGATCTTATTGTGTAACGCAGTTTCTGCACTCTCTGCTTTCACCAATGCAGACACGATGATACAGTAAGAGCTTCGTTGTGCAGTGCAACGCAGTTTCTGTTCTCTCTAAAGCCCCAAACTCGTCCGCTCTCGTCGAGGTAAAAAGCTGCACTTGAACTCACCGAGAGAACTACAGCCGACTGACAGCTATAATGTGCGTTCTGCGCCTGCGTTTAATGAGCCAACTGTGTATTTCTGCAGATATATTAGAAGAGAAGAGAAAAATAGCCAAAGCTCGGTTTACACTGATTGAAAGTTCTAGACACGAGAGGACCAAATACAGTCTAGGGGAACTCATATTAATGTTAAAAAACTTCAGAAAATGAAAATTTCATGTCAGGGGACCTTTAAGGGATTTAAATAATTTTAAATTAACGTGATTTGTGAGAAAATCGGGACACATTTCGGATTGCATCTCTGTCAGCAGCGGCTGATCTTAAAGTGCCATTAATGTTAATCAAAGAACAAATGTAAGAGTGAATGACTCACTCAGACCTGGAGCCAGGAGGGTTATTATACCGGTAGCCTAATAATCATCAATGCACTCCTATATTTTAACACATCTCCGGCAAACGGCTTCTTCACGCAAAAGAAAAACTCTTGAAAACTCTCATAAAGCACAGTGAAATTCAGCGATATATGGCTTTTCCTGATGGATCGTGTTTGTTCCTTAACTTCATTTTATATGTGCAACTCGCGTAGCCTACAGTATAAGGTGTGAATGTCTGTCTACATTTGTAAAAATTTTATTTATGATAGAATCAAATGTTGTTTGTCTTTTGTATTGCTTTATCTACAACACATGAGGGTAGTAAGGTAACAGTAGTACAGGAGAGAGACTTTATTTGATTTCTCTTCAAAATGTGTGTGTGCGACTGTGTGTGGTCCGTGTACTTTTTCGTCCATTCATTATTCTATTTCGGAATGAAAGATGACATTTAAGAAAGGGTGCAACTTGGTTTTTTGTTTAAAAGAAAAAAAAATTAGAAAATGGCTGTATTTTGTTTTCCTAATGTATTGTTGTCATCAAATAATAGTATTAGAAAATTGGATGACATTTACAATCGTTTTTTAATCTGTAATATATTTATTTGTACGTTTATTGTATTTCAAATGACTCAGAGCCGGTGTTGTGCCTATTTTCCACCCTCCGCCAGCGGAGCGCTGATGAGGGGGCGTTAATGCAGTTTTTTCGTGTCCAAAAAACTGCATTTTCTACATGCAGTATTACTTCTAAAAAAACTGCAGTAATTTTTTGTAAGGGGTGCGTCTCACCTGCCGAAACTTTGCTCTGGCTTCCTTCTCCTTCATCCTCCCATGAGCCACTAAGTAGTCAAACACTTCACCTGACATAAACAGAGGCATTCAGAGATGTGTGTGTGACACGATATTACATATACACCCCGCCTGTCCATCAAACTCACCTCCACTTGCATACTCCATTATTAAATACAGCGTCTTCTCTGTTTCAATGACTTCAAATAACTTAACTGAAAGAGAGGCAGATGTAGAGAGTGATTAAAGTTTACACTCAAATAATAAACTGGACAATGTCAATATGTTGTCTGAACATTTATAGACATAGAAACTAACAGCATTTCTGATACTTCATATAATCTCAACTCAAAATGATTGCAGGATCTCGGCATTAGCATGTCGCTAAGCTAATGATTATCTACGCTTACGCGTGGAAATGTAGGAGTACATCCCTTCCTGTTCAACTTGTTGTTAATGTTTATAATTAATATTTTTCACAATGTACCAATTTTGAAATACCAGTGGAAAAGAAATCATAAGTGAAACTGAATCTGTAGTCTTTATTGAATGTGATTTAGGAAGTGACGCGTCGGCTTCACGCACAACAAACACACATCGCCATGAGCCAGGTCGATTCGTGAAGCAAACGCATTCAGAGCGACAAGTGTAGCGCTTTCTCGAAATCAGTGAGAAGTCAGGAACATACGGTAGCCTGGTCTAACATGAATGGAAAAGTGAGAGTGATTCCCTCTTGTATAACTGTTAGCTGAAGCTAGGTGTATGCAATTGGCCCCAGATCTGTGCGTGAACTCTCTCAGGAGTGAAACCGCACGCTAGGGATGCTTGTTATGGAGACATGCTAAAACACACACAACGTCACAGTTTCTTTCCACTTCATAGGGACTGTATGCGGAGAGCAGACACTAATAACGGCTGACTGCTTCCTGTGTGTGTGTGTTAGGAAAGTGGCAGGGATAGGTGTGTAATCACAGCTTTTAGTTTGATTAATCTACAATCCAGCTCAGTCTCAGCCAATCAGACGCCAGCGCTGACACGCATGCGGGCCGGCAGCAGAAACAGCCAGTCACGGTGATCGATAGCCAAGTGAAAACACAGTCTGGTGATGTTAAGAGAGGCACAGAAGAGCTGAGACATCGTAGAGCTAATCGTGCTCGAGTCTGAACGACTCTCCTGTGATTCCCCTCCATTAGGAGTATAAATAATCCAGTTATCCGAGGATAAAGAGAGGGAGAGAGAAGACACTGAGCTGGGAATTAAAGCAACAGACATCACTTCCAGTTAGAAGGGGGTTACGGTAATGATCGGGGGTCATGATCTGGGGTTATAAATGTAATTTTGGGGCCTCACACCAGTGTTGATATTGTTAAAGGGAAAATAACATAAATACATATCAATAAGGCGGGTTAATCCAAGTGTATATGATGAACCAATGAGGCGTCTTCTCGTGCGTCACACACTTGAGCTTCGGGTGTGTGTGCGCTGATCAAGCTTTATCTGTGAGTAAAAGACCATATTAAATGTGTTCATCATATAAAGTGATTTTTCAAAAGATTTGGATTATATGGATTACCATCTCTTTATGAATGTTTTGAAGCGTCAGAGTTTTGGACAGAAATCTCTCATATCTTCATTTGTGTTTCAAAGATGAACTAAAGTGGCATGGTTTTGGAGCGGCACGAGGGTGAGTGAATCATGACAGAACTGATATTTTCAGGAGAACTGCCCCTTTAACTAAAACTGAAATTATTCAAAATTAAAGCTAAATAGAAGTAGTATTTTATTTTTTACAATAAAATGACAAAATCACTAAAAATCAATTTTTAAGTTAAAAAGAAAAGTGAAAATATAGAAATGAAAGTTAGTCCAAAATATGAATAAATACCATAATAGTAAATGACTACTAATAAAATAACACTGCTTTGGCTTGACATCAATACAAAGGTCATTTGTATGTATTATTTTTGTAAATCCATAAATACTTCTAATGTAACATAGGCAGAAAAAACATACATTTAAAGTATTTTGAATTTTGCATTTCATGTGCAATCATAACTGGGGTCACCATTTCAAATGTTTATTTCACTGTAAGGGACAAATAACGACTGAAGTTATTACCTGATTTTGATGCAAGAAACAAGAGAAATTGACATACACAAGTGATCTAGACCTCAAGGTCAATATGAGAATGATGTCTTACCTATATTAGGATGATTTAAGACCTTCATAATCCTCACTTCACGAAAGAGCTGTGGGAACACACAGAGACAGAGACATCAGATAAGATGCAGATCCTGCGGTTTAACTTTAAACATACAGTACTGGTCAAAATCCATTTTTTTAAGGCTTTAAGGCTTTTTAAGACCTGCACAAATAAAATGGATAATGTATAAGCAAAGGATGGCAATACTAGACCATAAAATGACTAAAAAAACTTTAGAGTTCACAAACAGATCTGGAAAAAAACAAAGTTTTATAAAATGATAAACCTCACATTTCAACTTTTAAACCATTTTTTAAGAAAAGGCATTAGTCAAAATTATTAATGATTGAATTTTTATTAAGTTTTTACTTTCAAACATGACTTGGAAGTTGATGTGTAACCATCAGGATTACCTTTATTACGTCCCCAAATTAAAGACCTCTTACAATGATAACAGGCCATTTTCTTATATCATTTAAGATATTTAAGCCTTTTTAAGGCCTTAAATTTGATAAAACTATATGTTATACATTTTAAGTCTTATAAACAACAAGCTATAAAGTTGAACAAGAAACACAGTAGCGTTTAGAGGTCCCAGGAAGCTCCAGTGAGCACTTCAGAAAAAGCCGAAGTTTGCAAGATTCATGGCAATAATTCAGAAAGATGTGTGAGACTTTTTTGAAGAAAAAAAAGAGACCTGACCTGCACAGTAGCGATCTCGGGACCTGACCTGCGAAGTAGCGATCTCGAGACCTGACCTGCACAGTAGCAATCTTGGGACCTGACCTGCCAAGTAGCGATCTCGAGACCTGACCTGTGCAGTAGTGATCTCGAGACCTGACCTGCACAGTAGCGATCTCGAGACCTGACCTGCACAGTAGTGATCTCGAGACCTGACCTGCACAGTAGCGATCTCGAGACCTGACCTGCACAGTAGTGATCTCGAGACCTGACCTGCGAAGTAGTGATCTCGAGACCTGACCTGCACAGTAGCGATCTCGAGACCTGACCTGCACAGTAGTGATCTCGAGACCTGACCTGCGAAGTAGTGATCTCGAGACCTGACCTGCGAAGTAGTGATCTCGAGACCTGACCTGTGCAGTAGTGATCTCGAGACCTGACCTGCACAGTAGTGATCTCGAGACCTGACCTGCACAGTAGTGATCTCGAGACCTGACCTGCGAAGTAGCGATCTCGGGACCTGACCTGCGCAGTAGCGATCTTGAGACCTGACCTGCACAGTAGCGATTTCGGGACTAAACCTGCGCAGTAGTGATCTCGAGACCAGACCTGCGCAGTAGCGATCTTGAGAGCAGACCTGCACAGTAGCAATCTCGGGACCTGACCTGCACAGTAGCAATCTCGGGACCAGACCTGCGCAGTAGCGATCTTGAGACCAGACCTGCACAGTAGCGATCTCGGGACCTGACCTGCACAGTAGCAATCTCGGGACTAGACCTGCACAGTAGCGATCTCGGGACCTGACCTGCACAGTAGCAATCTCGGGACTAGACCTGCACAGTAGCGATCTCGGGACCAGACCTGCGCAGTAGCGATCTTGAGACCAGACCTGCACAGTAGCGATCTCGGGACCTGACCTGCACAGTAGCGATCTCGGGACTAGACCTGCGCAGCAGCGATCTCAGGACCAGACCTGCACAGTAGCGATCTCGGTACCAGACCTGCACAGTAGCGACTTCGGGACCTGACGTGCGGAGTAGCGACCTTGGGACCTGACCTGCACAGTAGTGATCTTGGGACTAGACCTGCGCAGTAGCAACCTTGGGACCAGACCTGTGCAGTAGCGATCTCGAGACCAGACCTGCGCAGTAGCGATCTTGAGACCAGACCTGCACAGTAGCGATCTCGGGACCTGACCTGCACAGTAGCAATCTCGGGACCAGACCTGCGCAGTAGCGATCTTGAGACCAGACCTGCACAGTAGCGATCTCGGGACCTGACCTGCACAGTAGCGATCTCGGGACCTGACCTGCACAGTAGCAATCTCGGGACTAGACCTGCACAGTAGCGATCTCGGGACCTGACCTGCACAGTAGCGATCTTGAGACCAGACCTGCACAGTAGCGATCTCGGGACCTGACCTGCACAGTAGCAATCTCGGGACTAGACCTGCGCAGCAGCGATCTCAGGACCAGACCTGCACAGTAGCGATCTCGGTACCAGACCTGCACAGTAGCGACTTCGGGACCTGACGTGCGGAGTAGCGACCTTGGGACCTGACCTGCACAGTAGTGATCTTGGGACTAGACCTGCGCAGTAGCAACCTTGGGACCAGACCTGTGCAGTAGCGATCTCGGGACCTGACCTGCACAGTAGCGATCTCGGGACCTGACCTGCACAGTAGCGATCTCGGGACCAGACCTGCGCAGTAGCGATCTCGGGACCAGACCTGCGCAGTAGCGATCTCGGGACCAGACCTGCACAGTAGAGATCTCTGGACCAGACCTACGCAGTAGCGATCTCGGGACCAGACCTGCACAGTAGCGATCTCGGGACCAGACCTGCACAGTAGCGTTCTCGGTACCAGACCTGCGCAGTAGTAATCTCGGGACCAGACCTGCGCAGTAGCGATATCGGGACCAGACCTGCGCAGTAGTGATCTCGAGACCTGATCTGCACAGTAGCGATCTCGGGACCTGACCTGGGCAGTAGCGATCTCAGTACCAGACCTGCGGAGTAACGATCTCGGGACCTGACCTCGGCAGTAGCGATCTCGGTACCAGACCTGCGCAGTAGCGATCTCAGGACCAGACCTGCACAGTAGCGACCTTGGGACCAGACCTGTGCAGTAGCGACCTTGGGACCAGACCTGTGCATTAGCGATCTCGGGACCTGACCTGCACAGTAGCGATCTCGGGATCAGACCTGCGCAGTAGCGATCTCGGTACCAGACCTGCGCAGTAACGATCTCGGGACCAGACCTGCGCAGTAGCGATCTCGGTACCAGACCTACGCAGTAGCGATCTCGGGACCAGACCTGCACAGTAGAGATCTCGGGACCAGACCTGCGCAGTAGCGATCTCGGTACCAGACCTGCGCAGTAGCGATCTCGGGACCAGACCTGCGCAGTAGCGTTCTCGGTACCAGACCTGCGCATTAGCAATCTCGGGACCAGACCTGCGCAGTAGCGATTTCGGTACCTGACCTGCGCAGTAGTGATCTCGAGACCTGACCTGCACAGTAGCGATCTCGGGACCTGACCTGCGCAGTAGTGATCTCGAGACCTGACCTGCACAGTAGTGATCTCGAGACCTGACCTGCGAAGTAGTGATCTCGAGACCTGACCTGCACAGTAGCGATCTCAGGACCTGACCCGCGCAGTAGTGATCTCGAGACCTGACCTGCACAGTAGCAATCTCGGGACCTGACCTGCACAGTAGCGATCTGGAGACCTGACCTGCACAGTAGCGATCTCGGGACTAGACCTGCACATTAGCGATCTCGGGACCTGACCTGCGCAGTAGCGTTCTCGAGACCTGACCTGCGCAGTAGTGATCTCGGGACCTGACCTGCCCAGTAGCGTTATCAGGACCTGACCTGCGGAGTAGTGATCTGGAGACCTAACCTGCACAGTAGCGATCTCGGGACCTGACCCGCGCAGTAGTGATCTCGAGACCTGACCTGCACAGTAGCGATCTCGGGATCTGACCTGCACAGTAGCGATCTGGAGACCTGACCTGCACAGTAGCGATCTCGGGACTAGACCTGCACATTAGCGATCTCGGGACCTGACCTGCGCAGTAGCGTTCTCGAGACCTGACCTGCGCAGTAGTGATCTCGGGACCTGACCTGCCCAGTAGCGTTATCAGGACCTGACCTGTGGGGTAGTGATCTGGAGACCTAACCTGCACAGTAGCGATCTCGGGACCTGACCTGCGAAGTAGTGATCTCGGGACCAGACCTGCGCAGTAGCAATCTCGGTATCAGGCCTGTGCAGTAGCAATTCTGGGACCAGACCTGCACAGTAGCGATCTCGGGACCTGACCTGCACAGTAGCGATCTCGGGACCTGACCTGCACAGTAGCGATCTCGGGACTAGACCTGCGCTGTAGCGATCTTGAGACCAGACCTGCACAGTAGCGATCTCGGGACCAGACCTGCTCAGTAGCGATCTCGGGACCAGACCTGCACAGTAGCGATCTCGGGACCTGACCTGCACAGTAGCGATCTCGGGACAAGACCTGTGCAGTAGTGATCTCGAGACCTGACCTGCACAGTAGCGATCTTGAGACCTGACCTGCGCAGTAGCGATCTCGAGACCTGACCTGCACAGTAGCGATCTCGGGACCAGACCTGCACAGTAGCGATCTCGGGACCAGACCTGCGCAGTAGCAATCTCGGGACCAGACCTGCGCAGTAGCGATCTCGGGACCAGACCTGCACAGTAGCGATCTCGGGACCTGACCTGCACAGTAGCGATCTCGGGACAAGACCTGTGCAGTAGTGATCTCGAGACCTGACCTGCGCAGTAGCGATCTCGAGACCTGACCTACACAGTAGCGATCTCGAGACCTGACCTGCACGAGACCTGACCTGCACAGTAGCGATCTCGAGACCTGACCTGCACAGTAGCGATCTCGAGACCTGACCTGCACAGTAGCGATCTCGGGACTAGACCTGCGCAGTAGCAATCTCGGTATCAGGCCTGCGCAGTAGCGATTTTGGGACCAGACCAGCGCAGTAGCGATCTGCTCCGTTCCTCAGTTCTGCTCCAATTTTGATGTCTGTTGATTGCAGTACAGCAAGAGGCTTGTTAAAATAAAGTATATACAATCTCCTCAGTCCTCTGAAGGACTTTTTTTGGGTTCTTCGGTGACAGAGAACCTCTCAACCATAGCTGTCAATCATGACGTTACACCACCGTTTTATAGCATCACGTAACTAACTAAAAACAAACATATTTTAAAAACAGACACTTGAACTTACATCGGGCGATAAAAACGACAGCAAATGGAAGAAACCATCTTTGTAAAAAAGTGTAATTAAATTGTTTAGGTGGTCTCATGAGGAGTAACACGGGGAGGCAGGATTTATGACCTATACTAGGGCCAGCCACCAGGGGGCGATCGAGACGCTTTGGCTTCACTTTTCAGGGTTTGTGTGGCACGCTAGGTTTCAACTAATTAAACCAACACAACATCAAATGTTTAACATTAAGACTCGTATGACCCAGCAAAAATGTTATGTTAAATATCAATTTGGTCACACTTTAGATTAGGCTCCAATTCTCACTGTTAACTAAGACTTTTCCCTCAATAAACTCCTAATTACTGCTTATTAATAGTAAGTAAGGTAGATGTTTAGTTTAGGTATCAGGTGGATTAAGGGATATAGAATATGATCATGCAGAATAAGGCATTAATATGTGCTTCATAAATACTAATAAACAGCCAATATCCTATTAAATATGCATGATAATAAACAGCTAGTTAAGAGTGAGAGTTGGATCCTAAACTTAAGTGTTACCGTAAATTAATTTAAAAGTCAACCTCTATAATAAGTAAACAATTTTGACAAGATAATGTTATTTGTCATTTTCTATTTGTACTTTTTGCATTCTATTTGTAATCTCATTTTTTAAATGAGAACTATTCTAAATGTAGATATAAATTATTATCTGATTTAATCAGCATGTTTAAAGCATGAACTAGTCTCATGTGGAGCTTTTACTGCAGCAAGGAAGTCAGTCACCAACCTGTTTTCTCCATTTCTACAGATATTGTAATGTTGACTGCATTCATCAAGCAGAATTATCAACCCTCATTCACCCTCATTGCAACTACCAGAAACAGTTATTCTTTATCTTTCTTTCTTTGATTGCTATAAAATAACAAATCATATAAATAAGGATTTTAAACTGTTTCCAGTCATTTCTAAATTATACAGTTAAAAACTGGTAAAAAATGTAAAAAAAAAAATGTAAAAAAAATTTTTTTAGATTATGATAATAAGCATTTATGAAAGTTAAGCACTTTGAAAATTTGTTGAAAAAAAGTTTTTGCAAGCCCTAATAAAGTGCCTCTGCTAATTTGCATTATGAGAATAGTATGCAAATAGTAAAAAAAAAAACTTTTTTTATTAAAAATAGTTTGTTTAAATTTGAATTGATTATAACATAAATCAATAAAGTGCACATAATATAATGATTTATAAAACAAACAAATCATTTTGGTGAGCCATATATCATGAAGTTTGTGAGTGATCTCTTCTCATGTGACCTCTTGACCTCTATCTGTCTCGATGAACACATCCTTCCTGTCCTTTGAAACGGCAAAAACAACAGTGAAGAAAGGAAATGGAGGAGGGGAAACAGAAAGTGTGTTTCTTCTTGGCAGTCTGCGCTGCTAAACAATCAGCAGAGCTTCTATTTTTACAGAGATATTTCTAAAAACAGCCACAGCAACATTCCTCTCTGACACTGACAAGCGTGACACTTCCTGTAGTGTGTGTGTGTGTGCTTCTCAATCCCCTGATTTACACAGACGTCATCGCAGCAGTTCCCCGTCACTCATGGAGGTTGAACACACACACACTCATGACGAATGATGTTGTAAAGTGAGTTTAACACACACACCACCTGAATCCGTGGGGAATTTGATTCAGACTCACTTGGAATCTCAAAATGAACACTGGAAGATGGGGGAATGTCCTACTTGTACTTATACAAATATGTGAATGCACGCAGATAGTGTTGGATCATATTCCAGCATGATGATTACAGATACTGGGAGAAGAAAGACACAGGAAGAGAATTCATTTGGGACCTAAAACAATTTAACAATATGAAAAAGAAACTGGATGAGCGCTGTTGGGGGAAGGGGGGACAACTGTATTTACATACAAGCTATGACAGTGTGTGTGTGGTCATTAATCTTGCTGTCGAGACGTGAGACGAGTGCTGTTTCACTGTCCATCTGTTCAAGCGATGCTAATGTGCACATCAATCAAAACAGGGAGGAGGGGCCTCATTAACATATTCAAATGAGATTATAATTGACTCTACAGAACTGAAACAACTGGAACATTAATAAAACACATATTTCAAGTCGTAAAGCATGAAAAGCATATTCCAAGCATGACTGTGACGTCCTTGAGGAAGGAGGCCTGACCGACGCGAGGAAGCTGGTCGAGAAGGACCGTCTGATCCTGGATCATCTCAGGGAACTCATTTAAGACTTGCAACCCTCGACGCTCCTACTGAACGACGGGACATGAGGGGCATTTTTAGGAAACGAATTAGTATTTGCATTTTTATTCCAATGTATTATTATCGCAAATCCATTTTTGGATCAACATTTTTGAGTTAGGGCCAATCCCAATTCTACCCCTTACCCCTTCACTTTCCCCTAGCCCTACCCCTTCGCCTTCCCCTTGACCCTTGAAACAGAGTGCCAATGCGTAGGGCTGAAAATATTCCCCTAAGAAATGGGACACCACTACGCCTCCGTTAAACGTCATTATAAGTCGTCGCTAGCGCCTACGTCACAGAAGATGCGCTGATGTTTATCACAACTTCCAAGATGCCGTCGATAGCTGCAGTTATCTCAGTCACGTGGGTTACAGCTATTTTCTTGCATTTATCTTGTGAAGTTCGCAGGAAACAACGGAGACGACGAAAATATGCGGGACTATCGTTATAAAACTACAGTAATTTTAGCGATTTTTTTTTTTTTTTTTTTTTTTTTTTTTTTTTTTTTTTTTTTAACAAACATTTCTGTGAAGAAACTGACTGTAAATATGAACACAATATTGAATGTAACATAAAGCAAATCATTATTTGTCGTTACAATACTTATTAAAGCCACAAATACTTAAATTTATGGGTCTCCTTTGTCGCTTGGGCAGCCAGCCCTGGGTTAGCAGTGACACTTCTCATACCCCTTCGTTTGAAGTGTGCTCCCGGAAAATCTTCGTTTGAAGGGCTATCTGGCCCTTCACCCTAGCCCTCCCCCTCCAACCAAAAGAGAATTGGGACAACCCTACCCCTTCACGTGGACGCGCAAAACGGAGGGGAAGGGGAAAGTGAAGGGGTAAGGGGTAGAATTGGGATTGGCCCTTAGAGAATCCATCTAAATGAGTTGGGGTCACTTGCGGCCGAAGCACTGCTTTAGGTGCAGGAATCACACATTCGGACTACACTGCGCTGCTAAATCAAGCAATAGTAGCAGTATGATTCTGTGACATTGGTTGTTAAGACAAAAGGCCAACCTCTTTTTATGTAACTCACTCAGATAGAAATGCCTCGACGGAGAAAAGAAATCTACGCTTGACAAGGTGCCATTTGACGCTGTCTTTCATAAAGTCACGACTGTATCTGGATAATCTGCACTGTGAGGAATTGCAATGAGAGAAAGGATGGAAATATTACATTTAAATGTTCACTGCACTCTCACACAGAGGACTCTCCGGCTCTATGAACATGCTAGAAACTGGATAAACCTGTGCAATGTTTAAAACATCTGTCCATCTATCTATTCGTCCGTCCGTCTATCCATCCATCCATCCACCCGTCCATCCACCCGTCCATCCATCCGTCCATCCGTCCGTCCATCAATCCATCCATCCATCCATCTATCCATCCGTCCGTCCATCCATCCGTCTGTCCGTCCGTCCGTCCATTCATCCATCTATCTATCCATCCATCTGTCTATCTATCTATTCGTCCGTCCGTCTGTCTATCCATCCATCTATTCGTCCGTTGTCCGTCCGTCCATCCGTCGATCCATCCATCCGTCCGTCCGTCTGTCCGTCTGTCCGTCCATCCATCCATCTGTCTATCTATCTATTCGTCCGTCTGTCTATCCATCCATCCATCCATCTATCCATCTATTCGTCCGTTTGTCCGTCCGTCCATCCGTCCGTCCATCCATCCATCCATCCATCTATCTATCCATCCATTCGTCTATCTACAGTATCTATTAGTCCGTCCATCCATCCATCCATCTATTCGTCCGTTTGTCCGTCCGTCCATCCATCCATCCATCTGTCTATCTATTTATTCGTCCGTCCGTCTATCTATCCATTCATCCATCTATTCGTCCGTCTGTCCATCCGTCCATCTATCTATCTATCTATCTATCTATCTATCTATCTATCTATCTATCTATCTATCTATCTATCTATCTATCTATCTATCTGTCTATCCATCCATCCATCTATCTATTTTTCCGCCCTTCTTTCGTCTGTCTGTCCGTCCATCCATCCATCCATCTATCTATTCGCCTGTCCGCCTTTCGTCTATCTGTCTGTCTATCTATCTATTTTTCTGTCTGTCTGTCTGTCATCTATCTATCTATCCATCCATCCATCCATCCATCCATCTATCTATTCATCCTTCCATCTTTCGTATATCTGTCTGTCTGTCTGTGAGTCGTCTATCCATCCATCCATCCATCCATCCATCTATCTATCTATCCATCTATTCGTCCGTCCGTCCGTCTTTCGTCTATCTATCTATCCGTCCGTCCGGATTCTCTGTCCAGTAAAGCATCCTCTCGGGTTTGCATTTGTTCAGCAGTGAGATAATATCCCGCTTAAACGAACCATCATCTTTCATCAAACGCATATTGAACACAAAACGCACAGAACGAAGTCAGTGTCGTCAATATAATCGATATAATTACCATACAAACGTTCCCGGGGACTGTCTCACCCGTATTTAAATCATGATTCCCCATCCCGGGCTATTAACTTTTCAGTCTATTAATTACTTTCAAAAACTTAATTAAGCTTTGAAATACTGAAGAAAGTCACAAAAGAGCATGTAATATAAAAAAGAATGAAGTCAAACAAACATTGAAGTCTCACCTTTTGTAGACTTGTGGGGTTCAGCTGTGTTTTATCGATGATCTTCACCGCTACCTGAAAGACAAACACCGTGTTACCGTCAAATGATTATATTTATAGATTCCTACATATAGCCTATACATCATCATCTCTCCGAGCATCAGAGCAAAATGTCGTCTGTAGTCGGTCCTGGAAGAGAGATGTGGCGTGTTGAGGGACGCATGGCGTTTCGAGCACTAGCGAGTGTGCTTGTTCTCTTCAGCTTGACCGAGGGAGAACTGAACTCAAGAGCTCAACAGGACAAACATATAGTGCCAGCTATTTTTGTGAAATAACTGCTATATTAGAAGTGCACCATCTATTTCAGATTTACCCCACAATAGTATCATGTAAAAACCAAACTGTGGTTGGCGCTCTAAATGTTACCCGTGAGTGCAGGAAGCATGAGTTTGACAGTTGTCCAGTACGCTACCACAGAAGAAGAAAAGCTGTTGCTCACTGTGCTGAAACGGGTCGCTGTGAACAGAGCTGTTTTTGAGGAGGTAAAGGCTGTTGTTTTACACAGCCATTGAGGAATTTTAACTGAAGTATATTACAAACTTTACATGATCATACCAGCTTGTGGAAAATGGGCATCCGCTGACGCCTTTAAGCTGTGTCACACCTCGAATAAACACACTATGCATCTACAAGTAGTAGAGCCAAACCGATATATCGGCCGCTATTAGGCATTTTCCATAATATCGGTATCGGCAGTTATAATGGCCGATAAATGAATATTTAAAAAATAAAATAAAAACGGACGAAACACGCTTTAATCATCTCTCCTTGGCCTGTTATATTGAAAATGTATGTTTTACAATTTGCAGTATGACGTTATCTATTGCTAAATTATGGCGCATCATAGACTAGCTAACCACAAAGACCGCTAACGTTAACATTAATGAGCTTGGAAACCACAATTAACTTTTTCTGCCTAAATAAAGTAATGATTACTGTATTTATAACTAGCATATCTCTAGTTACAGTCCCTGCATTGTAAAATGTAAGTTATACTTGTGAGGAATGAATATTTAGACATAGAGAAAAAGGATCAAACGTGTCTTGTGCAGAAAAGTTAGCTTTTCTTTTACACGTGTGTGAAATCCAACGATATTTAATAAAAAAAAAAAAATATCGGCCGATATATCGGATTTTAAAACCCAAAAATATTTGTATCGGTATCGGCCTTCAAAATCCTTTATCGGTCGGGCTCTAACAAGTAGGTATCCGCTCACCTCTCTTCCTGTTAAAACATGGCGGGCCAGTTTGACTTTAGCAAAGTTCCCTTTGCCGATGGTTTTGAGCAGTCTGTAGTTCCCGATGTGCGGCTGCTCGTCCGTGATGGACGCCACCGAGTTCCTACAGCGCGGGAGACTCTGGCGACTCGCTGATTTGGTGGGGGGCGCTGGTGTGTCCGCATAGCCATCCACAGACGTGTGCTGGAAGAGGAGAAGACAGGGAGATCAATTCAAAGTACATTTGAAAAGAGAGAGACTTCACTAGACTCCATTTCGTGTGCAAGCCGCTTTCGTAACTTTAGTGAAGCACGCACTTTCAACAATGCAACGACAGATGCAGATTTTACAGCTTTTTCGCCAATATAGATATTTACACACGGTCAGTGAGTCAAACATAAATGTAAATATTATTTTTATATTCAATATACAGGTGTCCCAGCAAACACAGAACGTTCCCCTGACGTTCCCGAATGGTCCCATGAATTTTTTTGGGAACCAAACAAGAACCTTATAGGAACGTTCCATGTAGGTTATTTTTAGGTTAAATTTTTATAACGTAAGGAGAATGTTCCAGGAACGTTCCCTCAACCTTAAGGGAAAGTTCTATGAAGGTTCTGGGAACCAAAAACTAACATTCTACTACTAACCTACTAAACCAGAACCTAAATTTGTTTGCTGGGGCGCTATTGTTTGTTACGACACTGATGACGGTGACGTAAAAATACTTAAAGAGCGGTTATATTTCTCATTTGTTGTGCAGCTGTTGATAAGATATCGTTGAATGGCCATATTCTGTTTTTGAGATGCTTATCAGGTGGATCAGTTATTAATTAATAAACTACTGAGAGACTGAATGAACATCCATTTTCAAATTATGAGAAATGTAGGTGTAATACTAAGCAATGGCTTCTGCCTACTTCTTTTTGCTCACTATGGGTCGTTTTGGTAATTTATTTAGTTGATTATATATATAGACTTTTGTTTTATTTTTTGTTTGCTTTGGTTTTGACTTTATGGACGAAAATAAACAAAATAACTGTGAGTAGAAGTCATTCATAAAATTATGGCTGACAAAAGAACCCATTTATGTAATTTTTCTCAGTAAAATTATTGTTATATTATTGTATAACATAACTGTACTTTCATAGTTTAGTATCTTTACATAATATATTATTTTTATTCCTAATAAATGTATTATTTATTTGTACAGGGTTCCTACAGGTTTCTTCAAGTTAAATTCAAGTCTTTTTTAAGACCTTTTTAAGACCATTTACATAAAAAAATGAATACCTATTTCACATCCCTACCAGCAAAGAAAGACAAAATCCTTCGACTTGTGTTCATTTATTTTCAAATGTGGAATGGGTAAAAGATAAGTCAAGCAGGTAAAATAAAGACATTTCAGTAGGCCACAAGAAAGTTTGCCAAACAATGTTAAGTTGTATTTTAACATTAGCTACACACACGCAGGACATCAGTTCTGACTGGATCGCTTCCCAGATCGACACTATCTAACAGTTTTTATTCGTTGACGAAAATGTCAATAGATTTTCGTCATAGCTTTTGTCATTCAAAACTAAGTTTTATTTAGTTAGCGTCTCGTTTTCGTCAGTGAAAAAATGTCGTTGAAGAAAAGTTTATCATTATTTTCGTTTTTGTCCATAAAATTCTAAATTAGAATTAAGAATTAAGACCCAGACATCACAATTCAAGACTTCTTATTATTTCTTACTTAAGGTATTATTTCCAAATTCATAAATTCAAAGCTTTTAAGGCTTTTTAAGACCCCGCAAGGAACCCTGATTGTATAATAGCTTTAATTTAGTCATTTCTTTTATATTTTTAAAATAAAAAAATATGAAATACACATATTTTTTTAATTAAAAATCCTCATAAGTTTCCATGTTCTTCTAAAACAATCTTTAAATATTTCTGAGAAGTGTTTGCCAACTATAGCGTTATGATCTGACGTTGTCTGCTAAACTACTGCTTCTACGCCACTTTGCTTCGAGGATTTGTCTCCAATCTCCCCCTATTGTTTCCAGTGTTGGAGTTATGGCATAAGATTACTTTTTTTTCAAGTAACCATTATGCAATCCTGCAAAAATTAAATGTTAAATGCTTTATGTATTTAATCTTACTTCATTAACCAACTTCTTTGCTGCTGACCTTCGATGATACAATTCAAACATACTAATAAGCAAAAATTACTTTCAATAACATCACACTGATGGTTTTTTATTTATTAATTTATTATTTTTTTCAAGTAAGTGTTTAAGTCTTTCTTCTCCTGGTTTGTCTGAGTGGCGCCCTCTACTGTACAGGAGTAATTGGCATTTCATTTGGCCTTTACATTTGTCAAACATAAAACTTTATTGTTATTAAAAAGTAAAGCAAAAGTAATACATTACTTTCCATAAAAAGTAACAAAGTAACACTATTAGTTACTTTTTAGGGAGTGTCACAATATAAGTAACTTTGAGCAACACTGATTGTTTGAGAAAATTGTACCAATGTGAGCTGTGCTAGATGAAAGTATAAAGGCTTTAAAAGCTGCGTCTTGCATCCCACTCTTAAAGCATCACGTCACACTATCAGATCCACCAATAACAAACCACAACCATCCAATCAATTCCCCACCAAATGCACCTTTCCGGTCTCTCTCTTGAATCCAACACGGAAGTGACTGAAACTACAGTTTTGCCCTTCATGACGACTGTGAGGAGGGTTAATTTTTTTATAACTCATCCGTTTAAATAATATAAAGCCTTAAAGTTCGGCATAGTTAGGGGTGTGGCCACTTGAGTGACAGGTGGATTGCCGCTGATGTCACTACTAGCCGTTTGTCTGCTGTCTGTGGTCACGTTACTATCTAAGCTAATCCCAGCCACTGAACTTGCCATCTCTGCCGTGTTTATGCATTTTTCGGGATTGTTTCCTACAATTTAATAGGCATTATACCTATATGGCCCACGCCGTTGGACGTTGTCAAGTATCGAGAGAACATCGCTGTTTTCAGCGGTTTTCATCTGTGTACATGCACTCGTGGCATGGATGTCTGACAATTTCGTTGCTTTTTGGAGTTTTCAGATATAAAAACGTCTATATAAAGAGACCGAATGAGCGCGGATTTCCAGCACATTTACTTGAACTTCTGAGGTAATATGAATATGACAAAATATGAATAAAGCTCTCTACGAACTTCACGTGCTACACACACACGCTCAGAGCAATATTGTAAGCATATTGTACTGCATAATACATTTTTTAACTATCAGTAATACAGCATCACAACACACATAATCTCACTTTTAGCTATGTCTTTTAAATTATATAGTATTTTGAAGGGCAAAAACATTGAACTTTAACTATTGTCTTTAGTCAAGTCAGCTGTGACTTTAGCGCGAGGCCCTCTTCAGCACAGCACTTCCATATTTTTTTACAGTCTGTTCCCCACAGACAAAATTAAGCCCTACATTTGCTCTTATTTGATAAGCTGTTTCACTCAGCAATCACAACATCCGTTAATTGCTGTTAATTAACCCCTGGTTCTGTTATTGACCCTTTGAGCTCAGTCAAACAGTAACATCAACATGGCGCAGGAGTTAGTCAACTTCAGCTAGACCACAGCAGAGATCTATATCTATATCAGAAATATAGAGAAGCTCCTGGATAAAGTGGAAAATGAGCGGAAACCTTCACCCCAAACCACAGGGAGCGAGCACTTACACCAGAATCCATTACCAGCACTGGGTCCATACCAGCGAAGCTTCATTACCTGAGGAAATCTGATATGATTTGGCCATCTTAAAAGCCCTCTGTTTGAACGTCATGAGAATATATGTAAGCAATGAAGTACGAGAGGCTGTGCTGTATCGCGAATAAGTAACGGCTGAAGGGCGTTGTTAGGCTCGACGCGAAGCGGAGTAACCCCTTCAGCCGTTACTTATTCACGGTACAGCACTTGCCTCGAGTACCTTATAGCTTTTATAAAACGGTTACCACACAATGCAAATATTGAAGTAAAAAAAATTGTATTAGTGCAACTTTCATACGGTAAAATCACTAAGCCTTCCTTCCGCTGGAAAAAAATAGTCCCTGACCGTGAACAGCAACAACACTCCAATGTGTAATATGCAGGAAAGCTCAAATATACACAACACAGGAACTGCTGTGATACATAGAGCATAGAGCATAGGGATACATAGGGTGAAGCGATCATTGCCGTGTGTTATCATGAATAAAGCACAGCTACTGACCAATCAGAATCCAGGACTGGAACTAACCGTTTTATAAGATTGGTTAAGCTGCATTAGAATGGAAAAGCCTTGTACAAAATGACTTCCCATATCCAATAAAACAATCAATAAAATAAGAATTGAGGAAAATCAAGAGCTGCTCACATTCAAATCAGATGCAAGGGCACAAAACTTGAAAAACTCCTCTGGAAAACCCATGGTGAACATGTTAAAGAAGAACTCTGGCACAAAATGAACCTTTGGTCTAATAAAACATCGGTACCTAGTCGACCGTTCTCTGAGATTTGTTTTCATGATAATCGAATGTAAAGAGTTTTATCTCTAAAATCTGTTTAGCGTGTACGCTAGTATATGGGGGCATTAATAAGTAAAAAGAAATCACTTGTTAATACCACTAACAAGGCTCAAAATAGCCCCACACTAACACAGCAACATAATGAGGCTCCATACATACAAAACGAAGCATTGAGAACTTTGTAAGTGTACAGACCGTTTAATAAGAAGATATTTTATAAAGACCTTAAAGTCATCAAAATCGAAAATTGCCAAATAATGGGAAGTTGAGGAATTTTAACAAAGACCACATGAAATGTAGTACTTTAAAATGTAAACTATATTATTGTCCCCTTCTCAAAGCTAAATGCAACTTTAAGGCATGGAGATATTAAGATGGACATTAAAATCAATTTTTTTCTGTAAAGCTGCTTTGAAAAGTGTATTTTTAAAAGCACAATTTATATAAATTTGACTTTAAAGTATGCTGTTCATTTGCTGAAACAGAGAAGTTGTATCAGATAATTCATCCCTTAAACAATTTAGATGTCAGTCAAATTTCACAATACCAATTTCGACACCACAGCAAAAACTAATATCAGGGTAACTAATGTAAGTAAAAAATCGACACGTTAAAAATCAGTATAAAAACTACAGAGTACTGAATTG